TTAACCGAAGTTCAATTAAAATTTTCCGATTCGGAATAATTCTAGTTATTTTTATATCACCTAAGTCGACCTTACGCGATGAAATCTAGAACGAGACTGCTGATTGTTCGATTCATCATCCTTATCATGACTAATTGGTTACATCATCCTTTCAACCGATTAATTCCCGAACAAGTACGACAAATTCCCATATAGAGAGTAGGTATACGGGGTGGATAGAAAAGAAATTTAATATACAGTCTCACCGTTGAAGTCAGCTACAAATGTGACTTTTTTATTATTTGGTTTGTGCAAATTAGGATTGCATGAATAGTTTTTACTCTGGAAATAATCTGAAATGATGTTCATAATTTTCTATCAATCGATAGCTGTCGAATCAGATATTTTATGACAGAAAACATGAAGCCAAAAATTGTATCTTTCAAATATAAACGATTTTAAAGTGGCACATGAATTCACTATAAGCTGAAAGATCATTACTATTGAAAATTCCTGAAACATATCGATCTTCGATATCAATTTTTCAATAAACTCAATTCTCAAGAAATATCTCCCATGAAGAAAGAAGAAATCCAAATATTTTCATCGTTATATGGAAATTTACCGAAGCAAAATACTAGTCATGTGATGAATTCTTCCATACTTATATACAAAAACACTTACCATATTTTGAATTGACTCGGCTGTTACTTGATGGAAATCCATGGCAAATGTAAAAACTTCACAAACGATAAGATTTACACCAGCATCATTACTACTCCATTATTTTCAAATCGAAATATTCCGAAAACGGAACATAGTATCGAGTTTCACCAAGAGTACCTTCTTCGTGTAAAATTGAATGATGTTCAAGTTCATATCATATTTGGATTGAAAAATCTAACCTCAAAAAAGTTATGTTCAAAACTACTCGCTAGGAACCTTGTAACTAGTGCCCTCTATGAGAGTCAGATATTGAAACAAATTTATGCGATGTGTCAGATTTCAAGAAACATCCATACAAAATTTCATTACAATGTTGCCAGTAGTTTCGGAATAATCGTGAAAAATGTGTCAAAAAATAAATTTTTCAACACCTTGTATCATGAAAACGGATGCCGTTATGACATTTTTTTCACTGAGCAAACCCAACTTATTTTGCAATGTTCTACCTACCCAGGTAAGGGAGTTAGGTTTTTTGAAACACCCTCTATATAAGTATAGAAAGCGAATTTCAAATGTTTTCATCGTTACATGGAAACTTACCGAAGCAAAATAATATCCATATGATGATGCTTCTGTATTGATATACAAAAACAAACTTGAAAACACACATGAAAACATACCACTTCCAAACACTCAAATGAAACATATTCAGCAAACCGAAGATTAATTGGAATTTTTGATTTTGAATAATTCGAGTTATTTTTTTATATCACCTGAGTCGACCGTGCACGATGAAATCTAGAGTGAGACTGCCGATTGGTTTGATTCGTCATTGTGTCATCCCTTCAACCGATCAATTCACGAACAAGTACGACTAATTCCGATATTGATAGTAGGTATATGACATGCGGTAAACAGAAATTCAACATACTTTGTCTCTTGAAGCAAGATTACAAAAATATTTCTTGTATTTTATATAATTTCGAAACAAAGTTTTTTTCACAATTTGAAAAATAATGTTACATTTTGCAACATGCTATATGCATGACTATCAGTACTTACATTTTTGTTGATATTTCGAATTTCGATACGATGTGTTGTCATAATATTATATTGCCAATTATGGTATGCAAACAATATTTATTAATAATAATAATACTAAATCGCTTTTATTGATAGTAAGTATAAAGAACTGGTACAATGAGTAGATTTACAAATAACTTTGATGGTTACTATCAAATGGCAGAGTTAGCGTTTACCCATGTGTGAAATGGGTAAATACTTTTTTACACTCAACCAGAGAGGAAAAAGAAATAATTACTAATTATATAGTATTTGAAATAATGTAACAAAAAAAAGAAGGCTGAATGAAGAAAACTGAAAATAGAGAACAATAATTGTGATAATAGTTTACAATATTTGCAAAATCTACCTTCATAATGTATTTGACAAATAAAAACAGAATCTTCAAAATCCGATCACATTATTGGAGGATGAAATAGAGAGCACTCTTATATATTAATATCATCCATCAATAGAAGTTCTTTCATTTTGTTCTTGAAAAGTCCGATAGATTTTTTTTTTAAGATCATCAGGTAGCTTATTATATAGCCGGGTTATCGTATAGGAAAAGAAGACTGATAGAAAGTGGTTTTGTGCATGGGTGGTGTCAATTTGGGAGTTGAATCTGATGTTGCGGTGTGAACGTCTGTTCTGAATGAGATTTTTACAAAAAGGTATAGTGGTTTTTTTGCAAAATGAGGTTGATGATTTTTAAATCAATCGATAACTGTCGAATCAGATATTTTCTAGCAGTAAACACAAAGCCAAAAATTGGCGGAATTTAGGAAATGATGTGCTAATATCAATTTTGTTCAGAATTTTGAGCAGAATCGAAATATGGAATGATATACAGGGTGTCCCCTTAGAGAAAAATCAACTTTGTTTCGTCCTGACCTTTCGACTGATCCTGTATACTTAATTTTTGTTTAGTGTGATAGATTTTGAAAAACCCTAAAAGTTTTGTATCTTAACATTTTTTATTGGCTATCTTACTTTAAAGATAATCGACTGTTTCCATACATATCAGCGACCCTGTATACTGTATAGGTATAGAAAGCGAATTGCAAATGTTTTCATCGTTATATATGGAAACTTACAGCAGCAAAATACTATCCATATGATGAATACTTCCATATTCATATGCATAAACACACACTATCTTGAAAAATTACCACTTTTACACACTCAAATGAAATACATTCACCAATTAATTAAAATTTTTCACTTTTCAATAACTCGTTATTTTTTCATATCACCTAAGTCGACCGTACACTGTGAAATCTAGAACGAGACTGCCGGTCGATTTAATTCATCACTGTGATGACTATTCAGTTACGTCATCCCTTCAACCGATTAATTCCCGAACAAGTACGACTAGACTAATTCCGATATTGATAGTAGGTATACGGGGTGAGGTGAAAAGAAATTTAATATACCGTGTCCTCGTTGAGGTCTGCATCATGTGATTTCTTCTCCATTTTTTTTTATTTCAGTGTTGCCAACATAAAATTCTCATCAGTTTACGGGCAGATGGGGAAGATATACAGTGTGTCTCACTTCTAATGGAAACACCCCTGTATCTTACGTAATCCTTGGGTAAGGATCCTGACATTTGCTGGAGCAAGAGAAACATCAAAAATGCACTATATGACGGAGTGGGATCATCTTCAGTGATATACACTGCTCGCTAACAGCCATGGAACCACCTCAATTTCCGAAAAATGATATTAAGAGGCATAATAGATCGAAAATCACTTCGGATTCCTAATCAGGATGCCCAATTCACTGACTACTCAAATTTCTTCCTGAAAAATTTTCAGTTCTGAAAAATTCATTTTTGTCTCACTTTTCATGGAAACACCTCTATCTTACGTAATCGTTGGGTTAGGATCCTGGAATTTGCTGGAGCGAAAGAAATACCAAAAATGCACTCTATGACCAAGTGGGATTATCTTCATTGATATACACTGCTCGCTAACAGCCATGGAACCACCACTATTTCCGGAAAATGATATTAGGATGCAAAATAGGTCGAAAATCACTTCGGATTCGGAATCAGGAAGCCCAATTTAATGACTATACAATTTTTTCATGAAAAATTTCGAGTTATGAAAGATTCATTTTTGCCTCACTTTTCATGGAAATATCTTACGTATAATTATTGATGTAGGAGTCTGAAATTTTTAGGAGCAAGAAAGAGACCAATGATCAAGTAGGTTCATCTTCAATGATACACTACTCGCCAGCAGCGACATTCCAAAAGGAAAAATTTTATTAAATCGAAAAATGCATTACATGGTTGTTCTGAAATTGATAGTCATAAAGTCAGTTCTCTTCAGGAAGAATAAGATAACAATCTGAACTAGTACAACGAATAGATCAACCAATGAATCAGAAATCATGACGGGTGTCGTTAAAATGAATTATGAATGAATGAATGAAACAGGCACCCACTGGAGCATTATGATTATTATTCATTCTTGCATGGCGCTATTATTTCCACAAAAATATGTTGAAAACATCAGACATATCTCAAAACAAATAAGGAGAGATACATCTAGTAATTTGACGCAGTTTGAGATAACATTGAAATAAATTAAATATCTTGATTTTTCCAAGGGCTGAACGCAATTACTGATCAAACAGACACAACAATAATACCAAGCTCGTATTTTACTATTCTTCCAAAATGACATGTATTCGAATTTCAACAAACATCATGAGAATACTTCGTAGGATTTTCAACCTATTTTGCCACCTAATATAATTTTTCGGAAATTGGGGTGGTTCCATGGCTGTTGGCGAGCAGTGTATATCACTGAAGATGATCCCACGTGGTCATAGAGTGCATTTTTCGTATTTCTCTCGATCCAGCAAATTTTAGGATCCTAACCCAACGGATATGTAAGATACAGGGGTGTTTCCATGAAAAGTGAAACAAAAATGATTTTTTCAGAACTGAAAATTTTTCGGGAAAAATATAAACAGTTAGTGAATTGGGCGTCCTGATTCCGAATCCGAAGTGATTTTCAACCCATTTTACCTCCAAATATCATTTCTCGAAAATTGGGGTGGTTCCATGGCTGTTAGCGAGCAGTGTATATCACTGAAGATGAAATCACTTGGTCATAGAGTGCATTTTTGGTATATCTCTCGCTCCAGCAAATTTCAGGATCCTTACCCAACGATTACGTAAGATACAAGGGTGTTTCCATTAGAAGTGAGACACTATATTTTCTCTCTCTCTCTCTCTCTCAAAGCTAGAACTTCTCTATTCATTTCGAATTTCGCAGGTACTGAAATACATGTGTCACAACCCCGAAAGCCACACTGGCGTGGAGTTCCTGTGCGACTGCAAAAACTGCTCGCGGCCTGTCAAACACACCAGCTGTCCCGCCTGCAGACAGCCCACTCTGAGGTGCGCGGTGTGCGACATCTCCGTCAGAGGCGCTGCTAACGCATGCGTGCTGTGCGGCCACGGGGGTCACACGGCCTGCCTCCGCTGGTGGTTCGCCTTCCAGGTAATAAATACTAGGGTCCCTTGATGGAAATTGACGTTAAAGTCATCTTAACAGGGTACGGACAGATCATAGCTGCATTCTTTTTTAATGATCTAGAAACTTTGGTTTTGTCTACTGGCATCCCTGACGTTGCTGTCACGTCAAATCCATGGGCGCTACAGAAAATCATTCAAAATTTCAATAATAGGTATGTACAGGGTATTAACTTGTTGAGAAAGACCATATGGAGAACGAGTTTTATAATTATGATCCGATTCTATTCAAAATTAGAAGGTATCTGGGGTTTTCCGGGGTTGGAGATAATGATTTTTTCGTAAACTTGGAAAATTCAAGATGTCGGATCCAATGTATAGCGAAAGAAATTTCTAATTATGATCTGATTCTATTCAAGATTGGTTTTGTAATGAAGATCCGATTCTATCAAAATTGGTATCTGGGGGTTTTCGGGGTAGGAGATAATGATTGTTTCGTCAAAATTTTAAAATTGATGACGGATCTAATATGGCGAGAGACATAAGTTTATATAACTATCTCTACCACAAATAGAAAATATGTAGGATGCATGAGTGAAAATAACGTGCTTATAAGTTATACTGCGTATACCTACTTCTTTGTTACTTTCATCAATAAATTATTCGTAGATGATTCTTCATTTAAGGGAGACTGAAAAATCATAAGTATATTCTATTTTTTTTTTGCTGCACTTTTTACGTATTACTTTTAACCAGCCTACTTTTCGTCCCAGACGAAGTTTTATACATAGTGTGATATTAGTCATTCCATAAATTCTTCTCCGAATCTGATTTCCGAAAATATATTCAGCACACATGACATGACTACAGTAGTTCAGATACCCCCATATCGAGGTTTCCACCATTTCTCAATCATAACGCTCAACTCATTCAGCTCATAGATAAACTTCTGCTCAGCTTGAAATCAGAATTCATTTAGTCAATTCAGTCAACCCTGGTATGAAGTCTGAGAACAGTCTCTTTTGGTGAAATATATTAAGCTTGCTGGAGTAGTAAACTCTAAAACTAGAGGATTCTTCATCTATATCTTGGTATAGTTGAATCAGGAATTCCATATGGAAATTACGTATGATACGCCAGTGACAGCAATATAACCTAAAGAACAACGAATGTCAAAAATCTAGTGTTTATCCACAGAATTGGATAAGGATGGAACTATATAACTGTTTCACAAACACTTTAGAGTGAGAGGAGACGAGGATCTGTCCGTACCCTGTTAAGATGACTTTAACGTCAATTTCCATCAAGGGACCCTAATGAATACTAATGCTTTATTTCCACTTAAACAAAAAAAGTAGTTCACCTTGTCGCTCATAGATACCGCCACCTATTGAATAGAATTTCTGGCATCATTGCTCTCATAAGGATGGTTCATCTTGTCAGTGTAAATAATCAAGGTAATAACCGAAAATTGAATCTTACCAAAATACAACTACGAAAAATCCAAAACGCTCAAAGTGGAATGAACTGTTAAATAAATATACAAAGCTCGGTCATTTCCACAAAAGTTCATAAATGAGCGAAACTGGTAGATAACTAGAGAAAAACAGCTATTGACTGCGATGATATTCGTCGCATAGAGGTTATGCAAAATTCCTGTCTTCGACTTATACATGGGATCAGAAAACCTGAAAATATATCCCATAAATTGAATGAACAAAATTGGCTGTATATGGCGAACAGAAGACTTCTTCACTCAGCTTGTCTATTTCACAGAATCATTGTCTCGAAAACACCCCCATATCTGATGAAACGAATAAGATTTCGTGAGGATGTGCATAATATAAACATTAGGTTCAAAGGTACCATATCGCCACCTATTCACAGAACAACTATTTTTCGAAGGTCATTTTCTTATCAAGTTTCGCGTATTTATAACTCGATTCCCCAATACTTGAAGTCTCTTAGTAAAGTATCCTTCAAAAATCAAATAAAAAAATTCCTTATGAAGGAACAAAAGCTGAACTAGTTTAATATAATTGATTAAGGTTTCCCTAGCTTCTTTTCATGAATTAGAAATTATGTTATATATAATAAGGAATAACCAGAAGTGTATGACTTAAGAATTGTTTTTTTTTTCTAATTCAAGAATAAAAACAGAGGTCTGTGTACTGTGTACTTTGTACAGGGTGATTCACCATAAATGTCCCCCCCTCTAGCTCACTTATTTTTGAACCGATTTGAAAAATCATCTATAATGATTTTTCAGATTTGTTTTTCCCGTTGCATTAGAAAATACAGGGTACTCGGAACGAACGATCTACAGAGTACTACTTGATTTTTTCACATGGAACATCCTGTATTTCATTGTATGTTCAGATTCTCCCTGAAGAGCTGATTTCATCAATACATCACACTTGGGGTCTAGCGAAAATGATTATATTATTATTGGGTGTTCTAAGTCGAGATTTTTCAACTTTAGGATTTTTTTGTGTCGAAACTATTCATTATTGGTCAAAACGGCTTCTATGTCCCTATCTCAACTTTTGATTTACTATCTACTGACATGTAATTGGAACATTTACAGGGTGGTTCACTTTTCTATCGATACTTCCACGGGAAATGTTCTTCGGAAATCTCTGCTATCATTCATTCACTAGCAATACCAATTAAACGAACTAGACAAGCCCAGTCAGCACATCCTTTCGTTGTCAACCTCGAAAGATGTCGAACAGCACTTTATCAAGACTCCTTCATCCATAGAACGGCTAGGCTCTGGAATTCATTGCCTGTGGAAGTATTCCCAACAACATATAATCTCCAAAAGTTCAACAAAATTCCATTACCTACCTCCTTTCCCTATCCTCCCTAGGAACGCACGATGTTCTTTGAACATTATAGGGATTCCCTTTCGTGCGCTCCAAGCGATAAAAAAACCTGTATCTCTGTAAGCAGTTGAGGATCCTCTGCCGCCTTCAATAATGTTAATCAAAAAGATGGACTATTATGGTGGCATTCACCTGAGTGTATTCATTTTTGAACTTGAAAAATTTTCGACGACTATTAGTTCCTGAGATACAGTACCTCACCACCCTTAATGAATCACTCGGTATATTATTATGGGAAATAAAGACCTATCATTATTATCATTATTATTACTTTCAGGAGGTGTGTGTTACGGGGTGCGGCTGCAAGTGTCTGGTGGGGACGGCGAGTATGTTCCAGCCCTAGCGCGGGATGAGGAGGGGCGCGAAGAATGTGATAAACTCGAACACCATGTGATATATATATAGCTTATTTATTCTCGGCCGATAAGGTAGGAACCATTAGATGAAGTAGTTAATTGTCGGTAATGTAGGTATCTGGTTTGTTTATCTCTCTCACAAATGAAGGCTGACATGTTCAGTTGGCGGTACTAGAGTCCCTGTATATTCGCCAGATTCACGAAGTAGGCGACATCTAGGTTACATAATACGAACTTCAAACTGGGGGAAAACAAACTGTTGTCTATGTATAAAGTGCATAGACTACATTGCATTCAGCTTGCTGTAGCTGTAGTCAAACTTGTCAATAACATAAAGGTTGGCACTGTTGGTAGTGATGATGGTTGAGTTGGTTAATTTTTTCACATTATTACATTTTTATTAGTTTAGTGAACAGTGAACGGGTGAAGAATTGGAGATAGTTCAAACAATTCAAACTAATTATGACGAGCAAATCAATTGACATATAAAAGAACAGCTACAACATGTTTACAATACCCAGATTGTCCTGCTTTGCATAAACAAATACAAATCCATTGTTCTACAGGAGTTCCTCTGGACCCCAACTTCAATTTTTCTTCATGTGGGGAAGATTTCATCGCCGAAGTTTGTAGATAAAGTGCAAAAATGTGCCTTTTGTTGAAGTCTTCTGCCTCACGCAAAATCACATGATTAGCACGGAGAACTGCTTCTCCTCCCACTACTTGTCGGCTTTTTCCGTCTAAATAGAGCAAGATATCTGCCAAAAGTACATCTACAACTGACATTATTAGCGTTTTCGATCGAATATGGACAATTAATGTCAAAAAATTTAAAAACATCACTCTTATCAGTACACAGTACACAAGCTAATGGGACTAATGGGATTGAGTGAGGATTGAGTTTGTTTTCCCCCAGTTTTGACGTGGCTTTTACATGGAACGATGAAAACCGAGCGCCACCTGGTAACATTGATTCCCACGAATACCTTAGACAAGAGTCCGGACACAAAACTGACAGTCGTTGGAGTTTTTAATATTTTGTTTCATTTGGTTTGCCCACCTGACAATGTGACGAAACACCATAGTCGTCCCGCCCGCTATTTTTAATTATTTCGAATTTCTGTCACTGTCACTTTGAAATTTTATGACCGCCAAAATTCAGCATTTTAAATTATTTCAATGTCCTGCTGCGTACATTATTGCGATAATTCATCAGAAAAATGATTCAATTTTCCGAATGATCCTTTGAAGATAATGTCATGGAAGAATGCAATGAAACGTCCAGAATGGAAAATTAATTTCAAGAAATCCGCAATATGTGAGGTAAATATTCAAATTTACTTGTAAAAACAGTACAAAAAAAATTTAGGCCCATTTTGATAAAGATTCTTTCAAGCTGATGGATTTCAAATTGAAAGAGCCTGCTGTGCCTTCAATTTATAAAATAGAGACGTTCAAAAAAAGAGTTCCTTCGTCATCGTTTTGGGACTTACTGAATGATACGATCGCAGAGAAAGAAAATGAAAAAGAGATGATGAGGAAAGAAAATGAAAGTTTGAAATCAAAACTAGAAGATTTAGAGAGATTGAAATGTGCTATGTCATCAGTCCACGGTGTTTTTAATTCAGATCGAATTCAAAATTTACAGGTGAATGTAGACTGCAGGAAGAGGTGGGAGACCGATACAATTAATACTCATTACTACTGCCATCCGTATCACTATTCATAATTATTAGAACCTCATTGTTTATAAGGCATATTGTTGTTTCGATTTTTTCACTTTTATTCCTGCTGAGTGTTATTAAATTGAGAGAATCGGAGAAAATTATATTGAAACAATTATATATCTTCTATTTTTTTATATCCCAGCAGAACACAACTATATTTTCTTGGCTATATGTGAATACACGTAGAACACTTAAATTATCTTTCTTATATCTAATGAAGTGAAGAAATATCTGATGTCGAAAATTTGCAATAGCCATCTCAGGAATTGATTATGAAAATTATCGATTCGTAATTTGAACACCCTGTTGTTCATTATTTGAAAATCTAATAGTTATTCTAGTTAAAATAGCCCTATTTCTCACTTCTACCCATGGCTATATACGGTTTGACAAATAATCTAACCCTCAAAATTGTTTCTGACAATCATTGATACTAGGGGAATTGAAAAGACAGAGCTCGATATATATGTCTTATTCCTTTATTCAATCATCAATGCATTTTTCGATAACAGAAAAGGACAGAAGTTTAGCTGTGTCCGGACCCTTGTCTAAGGTATATACAGGGACTCTGGGCAATACTAGAGCGTGAGATCTATGTCGAAGTAATGATGGAAATAAGTAGATGGTGCGCGTAGTCGGCCATTTTTACGTTTTGAAAACTTGAGAAAAATCACTCGACCGCTTACTATGATTTCTCTAAGTCACATCGAGCGAGACGTTGATTCTACATTTTCCCGCTAGATGGTGATGCTGCTATTGCTGCTGTGACGAGTGGAAATAAAATGGCAAATGGCATTTTAGGTACGCGAAACATATGTAACAGTGGGATTATTCATCTCTGAATTCGAAAAATCTGCGGCAATTTGAAAATTGACCGGTGTCATAATTGTGCAATGTCGCCATCTATCCGAAAACAGCTGAAAACATTGTTCACGGGACTCTCGGGAGGTCGAGAAGAATTTCTGAAACAAAAGCGCATCAGTAAGGACACCATCTACGTATTTCAATCATGTCGAAGTCAAATGTCCCAGGATTTTGTCGGATAGCCAGGAAGGCAAAGGCCTTCCTTTCTTCTTTGGTCTATGTTCAAGGTATTGTTAACAAATAGAAAAACTCTCAGTTATAGTTAGACTTGATCATTCTTGCGTTTCTCACTCTCAATGTGGAACTTTACGCCAAACGAAATGGAAAAAAAATTATACCTATCAGTTATACCAAGTTTGACTTCTCGTCTCAGTAACGCCACGAGATTTCACTGAAATTTTTCTTGTGTCATATGGCAACAGCTGTTTCTGATGTTTGGTAACATTGCACAGTCGAGAAAAGTATGATAATATAGGCATTATACAACAGACATTAATTCTGTGGCACTGTCCAGAATCGCGTGACGTCACACACATTGCAAAATTGATTTTTCCGCTATTTTGAACTATATTTTCATAAAAAATTTGTCTTGATGTAGATATTTTCAAGTTGTGGGTAATTTGTGAGTAATCCCGAAAATTTTCGGAAGCCACTCGACAATCTTGAATTTTTGTGATCACCCTTCATTATGGGTTAAATTTCTTCATAGATTCAACAGATTTTGCATATTTCTGAGATCCCAGTGGCGAGAGAGATAAAGGAAATGATATATTTTCGCGGTTGATTTTATGACCTGTGGTAACCAATTTACAGTATTGTGAAGAGCTTTTTAATCTTATTCGTTATTGAAGAGGCTATCAGTTGCTGAATTTCTCCTACATTCAAGCAGCATGAGCCTCTTTTTGAAATAATTTTGTATGTCGTTCCTTAGATTCTGTACTAAAATATAACATAATGCTCATACCAGAACAAATATCAGTAGTATATGGGCAATATTTATTTTTCTACAATTCATGATATGACGTTTTGATTTTTCAAATATTTCAACCAATACGTAATTCTAGCCAATTATTCAGCTAACTATTCCTCAGGACCAAATAATTTTCGTTCACTGAATATTCCAACTTTGCTCTACCAATAAAAAAGTTGAATTTATATTGGGCATGACTAACCAACCTCGTTTTCAGCGAATATGTCTTGAAGCTTATAATGTCAATTATTAGGTATAAGTCTAGGTATGAGTAGGAAATTCTTGAGGCTATGACTCATACATTATACAGGGTGGCCGCTAAAAGGAGGTCAATCCATTAACCATATATTCCTTGAACAAAAATAATATGAGTTTCTAAATACCATTTTTCATTTTAGCTCTTCTTATTCGATATACAGGGTGTCAAAGTTGAAAATTAAAAACTGTTTTTTTCTAATTACTCGCGTAATTAATAAGATATTAATCTCAAAATAGGTACATTACTTCAGCACAAAGAGTTACATCGTGTGAGGAAAACAAAACAGAAAATAACTGTCAAATATTCAAAATACTGGGGGTCAAGTACACACTTACCCCCATATTTTTTTTGTACGTGCGCTAATGACTTACGAATTCCGATAAAATTATTTGTTTTTAAGATAATTCGAAAAGTACTGGTTATTGTTTAATGCCTTTCGGCTTACGGTAATCTCATAATGTTCACTTACTCCTATTTATTTCGTCGAAATTGGAAGAGGGCGTATCTTATTACGTACGGAAAGGTGAATATGGAAATACCGGGTGCTCAGAGCAAATGTATTAAAATAATTTTTACACTTTTTAATTTTTTTTTTTGTAAAAATTATCTTAGTACATTTGCTCCGAGCACCCGGTATTTCCATATTTACCTTTTCGTACGTAAAAAGATACGTCCTCTTTCAATTTCGACGAAATAAATAGGAGTATGTGAACATTATGAGATTACCTAAGCCGCATAGGCATCAAACAATAACCAGTACTTTTCGAATTATCTTAAAAACAAATGATTCAATCGAAATTTTACAGGAAACAAAAAATACTCAAAAATCATTGAACACTTGAAGGAAAATAGATAGGAAGTCATTAGCGCACGTACAAACAAAATATGGGGGTAAGTGTGAACTTGACCCCCAGTATCTTGAATATTTGACAGTTATTTTCTGTTTTGTTTTCCTCACACGATGTAACTCTTTGTGCTGAAGTAATGTACCAATTTTGAGATTAATATCTTATCAAATACGCGAGTAATTAGAAAAAAACAGTTTTTAATTTCCAACTCTGACACCCTGTATACCGAATATGAAGGGCTAAAATGAAAAATGATATTCAGAAACTCATATTGTTTTTGTTCAAGGAATATGTGGTTAATGGATTGACCTCCTTTTAGCGGACACCCTGTAGAATAGAATCATGAAATAGTCAATTGAAAAGATTTTTTCTTCTTCATATTTTATTTTTATTGACTGAAATAGTGGTGATGTGACTGAAATAAAGAAATTTTTTTTCCAAATATTTGTTCCATCCAAGATTCTGACCAATTAGGAAACATTTAAACTACTTTTTTTTGCAGTTTGAATTACACAGGATAGTTTCAAAAGTGAATAATATTCCCCAAGATATGCAGAAAATAATGTTTTCCACATTCTTAGTTGAAATTTGACAAATTCGATATTTTGACACACATTTTTCAAAATTAACAATAGCATTTCAAATCGAATACTACTTTTTTTATCAAAGCTTTTTCACTCCAAAGATCGTTTTGTATCAGACATTCTGACGCTGGACCTTTGATAAGCGGGATTCGCAAAGTTCGTCGTCGCCTCTCTGTACAGGGGGTTGCCATTCGTGCTCCATTTGAGCTTCTTTTGTTCATTTTCGAACTTCGCATACTCCCGTCTGTCGTGGATAGTCGTACAGATTTTCCAAACTAACAGGAGAATTAGTCCTGCTATAATGATGGTCCCAATCACCCCCGTACTCCAAGCTAAAATAATAAGAATAAATTTATTCAATGCAGTTGTTGAAAGATACAACAATATCAGCTGTTCTTGTCTTGACGAGAATGAAAATGTTGAGAAAAGAAGACAATTCTAAATTTTTTGCGTTACCAACTTGAAATTTTGTTATTTTAACTTCTGGAATGTTATAGTGTAAATAAATGTCATAAATTCACTCAGATGGCAGACATAGATAACTCGATTTACATCCATTATTCGGTTAACTGTACCAGGTGATTCAATAGGGATGATGAGGTGCTGGGTATCTCAAGAGCTAATAGTTTATTAAAGATGCCCCCTAGCGAGGGCAGTAGGAACCCGAATGGGATAGATGTTGTTTTGTTTCATTCAGAAAATCTTCCTTTCTTGAACCAGATCGACCTTGTAAGCAAAATCATTAGTTCCTGAGATCAATATCTCGTCACCCTTATTGAATCACCCGGTACAATGCACAAAAATGCAGCGAGAGACGAAGGAATATGATTTTTCAGGTAAATAGTAATCTCACATAGTCATCATTGTCATTCCTTATTAAAATTCCTTCTGCCACTCCTGCAATACAAGCTAATACTGCTAATAGATTGAAAATGTCTAAAACAAACACGATCATATTTCGTCAGCATGTCAGACCATTCCTCCCATTTGATTGCATGAATTCAATCTTCTTGCATTATTTTAGAAATTTCACGTGAATTTCTATTAGCTCCTATTGCAGATGGAATTCCGATGAGAAATCGGAGAAATTACCAAATTTCAAAAATGAAAACTATATGTGAGTGACTATAGTAGGTACTTACTTTTAAATCCAATAACTTTTGCTTACATCGACTGATAGGAAAACATGACTCGCGGTTTCTCGTTATCATCAGAGGCTTGGTATATTTTCACTAATTGGAAATATAATTTCATTTCGTTGTAATAACATGATGTTTTATCTCTAGAACCTATAGCTTTGCTCACCGATCCCAACGTCTGGCAACATTGTAGCGTGATAGAGTCTCATCACCAGAACGTCTGGCAACATTGTAGCGTGATCGACCCTTATCTCCAGAATCTTGGTATATTGTCGCTTATCAAAAATAAAATTTTATTTCGTTGTAATAAATAAATCTAGAACCTATAGCTTTGTTCGCCGGTCCCATTTGAATACGATTTTCATAGTGGCATGTTCATGGACGCCTGAATACCACAGTACGTATATACGTTGCTCTATAATGCAAGGGTCTCGAGTTCAATCCCCACAAGCAGCTTTTTTTTTTAATTCAGGCCATGATAATGTCATAGCGTCACCGCGTCTCCTACTTCCCCCCCCCCCCCCCGCTAGACCGCGAGTAGCCAGCCAAGTCAGGCCGGCCTGTGATTGGCTAGCCGAGTCACGTGGTTTGGAGAAAAGTGGAGGGGAGGGGGTGAGCCATCCTCCCCCGACTCCTACAATACCAACAGGTTTCCTTCGTCTTCTGCTGCAGTTTTTGTGCATTGTACAACAGCACAATGTGATGGCATGAGCGAATTAATGAATAGCCGAAAAATACGATTCGTATGCCAAAATAATTGTGAAAAACTATTTCAATCACTTGTAAACGAATAAGAAAAGTGAGGTTGTGTTTCAATGTTGTTCCTCCAAGGTCGGTCATCTGACAGTTCTTGCACTTAACCCATGGGTAATAATTAGTAACAAAGCTACCATCCGTTTCCCAAATAAACAACCCTAGCTAGAAATCTGTTCTCTTACCTAAAACGTTTGGTGGAGGGGCACATATTTTCTCTCTAGACGCTCTGACCACCAATTTATTGTCCTGATCGTAATAATACTCGAAGTTGATGATGCATCTGTCGTTGTCGGGAATCCTGCATTTTTTTATTTCTTGATTGTCATCTGTGCCGAGAGTATCCAAAATTTCGGTAGTGAAGGTGGTACACTGAGCATCACAAAGTGTGCCGTTGTAGATCCCTGATTTGTATGCCTGGCATTCAACACAGTGTCTGAGCTCTTCACATCTATAAGACATTTAGAAAAAGTTTTGAGTTTTTTTGTTTAGTTGGTACAATGAACTAAACCAACGTTGGCTTGCTTATCTTTTATATATCCTACTTGCCCTACTCGAAGGATTAGTTAACTGTGGGCAGGTTCGATAAACCTTCATTTTCGGAAATTAGGCACAATATCTACATTAAAATACGGTGTACCGGATTAACTTGAAAGGGATGATAGCAAATAAATATTATTACCTACGAAGAAAACAAATTCAACAGTGGTGATCGTTAAGTAAAATGTCCAAATTTTTGAGTTTGTTGAATTCTGATGATTCAAAATGATTGATTTTCATTCCTTTATTTTGTTACATTTAGAATTTCGAAATTATCATCAAAACTATGGTTTTCTTCTAATACATGGTTGGCTTATGTTGAACTTGTTTTCTTTTTCAAAAAATTCATCTTGTGTTCATGAATGCGCTGATTAAACGTACGACCTGTCTGACCGATATATACCTTAGGACAAGATCCACAGTTGGGTTTGTATACCCCTGATTTTTCGAATTCAGAAGTTTTGTCTTTAGTATTTTTGATAAACCTTCCCAAGGTGTTATTTGTTCTATAGGCTACTCTCAAGTCCTGTTTATGCAGAAATGAAGCTAATTTTTCAGTTGATGATCCGAAATAGGTTAAAGTTCTATCTATTCTTTCTAAGGAACTTCATAATAAAGCTATCCAAGAAGTTTATCCTACCATCAAGAATAATAATCAAAATTCGTCAACAAAATATGAACGCTATTTTGAAACCAATGTGCCTGTGCCTGCAACGCCTGCGTACTATCACAGATCACGAATCATTATGTCAAATGAACGTCTATTGTTTGGTGGCAAAACTAATAATATTGTTCAAGGTTATCCTATCTAGAGTCCCTTGATGCAAACTGACGTATTTGTCATCTAACAGGGTACGGACAGATCATAGCTCCTTTCTCTTTTTATCATCTAGTGACTTTGGTTTCGTGTATTGGCGTCCCTGACATGACATTGCTGTCACGTCACATTCATTGGCGTTAAAAGAGATCTTACAAAATTTTAATTTCATACTTCATCTTAATAAGACATTATTCAATTCTGTTTTGGAAGGATGGTAAAATGTGCTGCGTTAAGCTGTAGCAATCAGCAAATTTGAATTTATCACCTTTCCATCAAATGCAAATGAACTTAGAACATGGAAAGTGAAGTGACCGAATGGGAAAAATTGGTAAATACATCAGCAAAATATTCGAGGTAAAACTAATACGAAATCACATACTATACTTTCTCATTGTGCCTATAATTATCCACTCCACAAGTCTTGAATGCATACGCCCTACCATTTAAAAAATTATACCTACATTCAGGAAATATTAAGTGTTCGTGAAAAACTGCAAAAATGATTCCTGACATGAATATATACAGCACACATGACATATGAGCACATAAGTTTGAATACCTACATAAAACTTTTCACCATTTCTCAACCACAAGGCTTAGAGTCTGAAATCAAAATTCATTCATTGATATAGGTACTGCCTAAGAACAGTCCCATTTGGTAAAACGTATCAAACTTTCAGAAAAATTTGCTCACTGCCTCACAAAGATTATGCTGGAGTTGAAATATCAAAAACTCGAAAATTATCATCATCTGGATATAATATGTAGAGTTGAATGAAAAATTACATGTGGAAATTACGTATGATACGCATGTCCTCAATATAACCTAAAAAACAACAAATGTCAGAAATCTAGTGTTTACTCCTAGAAATGAATAAAGATGGAACTATATAACTGTTTCACAAACACTTTAGAGTGAGAGGAGACGAGGATCTGTCCGTACCCTGTCAAGATGACAAATACGTCAATTTACATCAAGGGACTCTAATCCTATCTAGTTTGGAGGTCTATAGAGTGTAGTTTGTTTATGATTTCGATCGTTACCTCTGGGCGGGACAAGAGATGCAGTCCTCGCAGTACTGCCCTGAGTACCGGTTCTCGTCCATGTTGCACTCGCACCGGCCGCACACGCAGCGCCCCCTGCCGGAGCACACGGCGCCAGTTTGCGGGTCGGTGCATCGCGCCTCGCTCACCTCGCACTGACAGGCGTCCCCCGTGTAGCCTGCTTGGCAGTTTTTGCACACGCTGCAGTCGCAGTCGCCCCTAGATGAATAACAATAAGAATAATAATATCGTCTTTATATTTCATGACATGCACATATAACATTTTCATTCTTTGCTATAAACATTACATTGCATCTCATATCAAATCAAAACTGAGCTTTATTGTCCAAGAAACATTCTTCCTATTGACAAAGCGTGAAACTAGCAAGTGGATAGATCCACTATGTCCAATTATTTGTACAAAGATATAAAAGATATGAACATAAAATATAATTAATAAATAACATAAATACAAGGGTATAAAACAACTACAAAAAAGCCCTAAAAGCATAACATTTATATCACATACAACGCCAACTAGGTACCTAGCATAATAGTAAAAGAATCAAGAAATTAATTATAGAAATAAATTATACATGACTTCAAAACTTTTCGTTGTAATATTCCTGCAGGTCATAGTACGCTTTTTGAATAAGGAATTTTTTAACCTCCTTTCTGAATTTTTTTATGCAGCCAGTTCCTTCGAATTGTTCTGACAAGTGATTGTAGATTTTTTTGCTCTCATATATAATGGAATTTTTTGTTCGAGACGTCTTCGGTATCGGCAGAGACAGGTGACTGTTATTTCTAGTGGACATAATATTATGATTCACCGGGTTTTTGTTCGATGAATGGTGTCTGGTATGGATCAAACAGACTGTTTCCAAAATAAAGAGGCAGGTGAGAGTGAGAATTTGTTGACTGATAAAAAGTGGTCTACAATGGTCCCTTGCTTTAGCCCGACACAAATAGCGAATCGCTCTCTTCTGTAGAATAAAGACAGAATTCAACAAATTTTGGCTACAAAACCCCCAGAAGGCTATGCCGTACCTGATATGAGACTCTATGAGAGAAAAATACGTGTTTCTGGCAATAGCAGAGACAAGCTCATTTGATACAACTCTAATGGCATAGCAACCTGATGCTATAAATGTAAATATCATCATCAAGATTTACAATGGAATAACATGAATAATCTGACAGATTCATATCTGGTTTGAGATTATTCATGCGTTATCAAATTAAATTATAGTTATTGAAATAAACAACAGAATCAAGAAATAATAATAATAAAACAAAAAGCTCATGAAATGTACATTATGACATGATGAAATAAATTAGTGAATGAGAAATCATTCACTCAGGTTTGATTTTCTCTCTGCAAGAGGATATGTTTCTTGACTTTAATTTTGAATTGGGTGATATTTGTGCAACTTTTGATATCATCAGGTAATTTATTGAATTTTGAGATAGCTCCGTGAGTGAACTTTTTTTGACCAAGTGCAGAATTAGCAGCATCAAGATGAAACAAGTCATATTGTCTAGTATGATGTTCATGGATTTGAGAATTCCTTACGAGTATGAAGATTTGAGGTGATTGTTGATAATATCAAAAGAAATTTTGAGAGTTTTGATCAGATAGTGCTCTTCCGAAGAAAATGTATTTGTTTCTCCATAAAGTTGATTTGATGGGGTGTCATATGGAAGACGATACAGTACTTTTATAATGCTTTTTTATATAGTACAGATATTTTGTTGAAATTATTCTTGGAACATGAGCCCCAAATATTTATGAGATAGTTCATTTTACTAAGGATGTGAGAGTATAGAACGGTATTTACTATATTTGGGATAAGTTTTGGACAGCTTCTTAAGGCACCAACTATGGGGGAAACAAGTTAAACCCATATTTTTCATTAATGAAGTCAATAATTCTCTTTTTTGAAACTTTCTCAAGTATTTTGGAAAAAATACTCAACAAAGCTATTGGTCTGTAATTTACCGGATTTTGAGCCTCAACGCTTTTATATATTGCCCTTAATGAGGTGTGTTTCAATTCATGTGGAAAAATACCTGTTGACAATGATTAATTGATTAATTGTGTTAATGGTTCAACCAAAATGTTTTTCAATTCTATTACATCTCGTGTGATCAATGTATTCTTTCAGTTATCACGAATTGAGGGAGGAAGTTCATTATCTGCAATGCTATGCATCATGCAGAAAATGTTATTCAACTTAACCTAATCTAACCTGAGAAAACACCTGTGATTGTTCTACATAATAGAGTAGATTGAATAGAGTGACAATTGACCCCGAAATGGCTGCCGTTTCCGGAATGTCACTGAATAGCTAAAAATCTGAAGGGTATCTCCCATACAGTAATGAATTTGCGCCTTCGAGGTGCCCACCTGATGTTAGGTTTGGATATTTGATTTTTATTTTATCATAAATAAATGAATAAACAATCTGAGACTTACGAGTCATGGAAGACGGATTCATGTCTGATTGTTGGATGTTTTGAACCCAAAGAGCAAAAAACAGAGACAAAGCATTGGCAAAGTGAAATAGAATGCGTAGAATGGAGAGAACAAAACAGGTGGATGCACCTCCATATTAGAGGTCTGACCAATCAAAAAGTATACCACTATAGTCGTCACTATTTATAAAGTCACTCTAGTTCTACATAACTATCGTTTATGTTTTGAATACGACAAACACTCGACATTTTGACATTGTGGGAGGACGGATCCATCAGCATGAAGGCCTCTTATTCGGACCCGTTATGCACCCACCTCTGCTGAGAATTTGTTCAGTCATGCAGGTAACCGATTTTGCGAGCGAAAGAGGCCAGCCTTCTAAACGATACCCTTCTCAGTTATCACACTCTCTGGGTTCAAGACGATGTTCCCGAGGTGCGTTTCCCGTATTGCTGCTACTGCTGGGCATTTTGTTAGGATGTGAGTAGCTGACTCCTCATCCTCCAGGCACCATCTATGATCAGCATCATCAATGAAACCGATAATGTTAGGGTACCTGTTCAGATGGCAATGCCCCGTGAGCAGACCTATCCCACTGTTCTGATTTCTTTCCTTATCAATGTAAGCAGAGTTTTGCTTTCACGATATTCATCATGGTTGAGACGCTCCAGGATCTAGAAACTCCTAAGTTTGGTTCTGGTCCAATCGCTGAATCCCTGGTCTAGCCAGGTATTCGGCCCTTTCATTTCCGGGTTATCCGGTATGACCAGGGACCCAAAGAAGCTTCACCTTGTTCGCTGTGGATAACCTTTGCAGATCATCAATGCACTCCGATACCAATAGCGAACTGACCATGTATGATGATAGGGCCTTGATCGCTGCTTCTCTGTCTCAGCATATCGTGATTAGCTGGCCATGGCTTTACTTTAGCAAATTTTTGTATCTGAAAGTTCGCCTGAACGCTTCTGTTTTGGTTTTTGGCACTGCGAGCATTTTTTTATATTGAATATGGTAATACCACCATCTTCAGGGATAGCCATTAGCAAAAAGCAATCATATACAGAAGAGAAAAAATTGGATTAATTGAATTTATTACCTGCCTGAGCACAGCAAATCATTCTCGCCCTTCTTGCATGAGTAGTTGTCGCACTGGCAATATTTTCCGTAGATCTTTTCATCCTTGTTAGCGGGATTCGTGTTGCATTCGCACTTGCCGCATCTGCATTGGCCCGAACCTGGAAGAAACACAAATTTTCATTCTCTAAAAATTTGTTCTAAAATTTGTTCTATCCGTCATTCGGTTGCCCCCTTACGAGCAACCCTCAAAAGTCTTCGAAAGTCTTGTGCGAGCAAGGAATGACGGGGGCCTTACCTTTTAACGTGTGATCCCAAACACTTTCTTGGGCCATCAGAAAAATTTCTGCAGTCGACGGGGATCGACCCCACGACCGGCAAGCGAATGCGAATTAGAATATAGACACTCTGTCCGCACGGCTACCTGGCCACCTCTACTTGGATATTTTCCCAAAACCCACTATACAATCCAAGAAACAAATGTTAATACGCACTTCATCATTCGTCTTATTCACGAGTTGTGTGTTAGGAAATTTAAGAACCTAGCTATGATCTAGTATAAGACTTATGAGAATGAGAGAGAGAGAGAGAAATGTTCATGAAGTTCCATAATATTCTTCATCTGTTCTATGCCTCGTGAAACCCCTCTTCATTTACACATTTCGAGGTTATTTCATGATAATCCAAACTATTTTGTAAATTTTACAACATTGGTCGTTGACAGGGTTGTTGTTTTTGTTCATCTGTCTCAATCATTGATCTCAGTTTATCAATTGGCCCATTCCAAATGGAAAGGGTCAGACATGTTGTGCTATTTGTTGGCAGCAGTTACAATAATACAATACAATACAATCATTTTAACAATGGCGTCGATTTCATTTAGGTTTGACATTTGACATATCTGTAGCCAACCTCACAATTCGAAATGTCTTGAAAATATTATCATTTTCCACTGAACCGAAATTATGCACTCAGTGTGTATTTCTATCCTTGACAAATATTTCATTCAGGAACATAATAACTCATAGTATCCAATGAAAGTGAACATTAAACGAATGGCTGGAGAAAAAATAGACAGAAAAATCACACCTGAACAAATTTCGGTCGATCCAGTCATGATACAGTTGCTGACGTCCTCGGAGGTGCTTTGCGAGCTGTCACATTGACAGTCTCTGCCGAACCTTCCCTCTGAGCAATCACAAATCCCGCATTTCATGTCTCCAAATGTACTGCACTTATCTGATTTTGGCACAAACGTGCTGTGATTTCGCATAGAACAAGAACAGTTACATAAAACTTCGAGTTCCACCTGGAATAAGAAAAATAAAAAATCAGGTTTCTCTGCATTGATGATTATATTGAGTTATTCAATGTTCTGGTTCCCCCGAAAAGAGATATTCTGTAATGTTCAGAGAACATCGTGAGAATCAAAGGGAAATAAGGTAGGAATTGGTGTTCTTCTTAAATTTCTGGAGGTTATATGCCTCGGGGAACACCTCCCTTGGCAATGTGTTCCAGAGCCTCGCTGTTCGTTGGACGAACGAGTCTTTGGAAAGAGATGTTCTGCAGGTCTCCAATGTGACCACGAAGGGGTGCGAAGCCTCAACTCGACGGGTTGATTTCACGGGGACTGCCAAGGGAGGAACAATTGTTGATATTCCAGAAGAGCATCGCCCATGGAAATATCTATAAAATAGAGCCAGATCTCGCCACCTTCTACGGTGTTCCAGAGAAGTGAGTGAGTTTGTGAGCGAGGCATCACCCACGAGACGAACAGTTTCAGGGTATGCTTGGGTGCTGCACTCCAAATATGGGAACAGTATTCCAGGACAGGTCGGATCTGTGCCTTATAGATCATAAGCAGCTGACTGGAAGTGAAATAGCTCCTGGCCCGAAACAGAAAACCAAGTTTTTGGGATGCACTTTTAGCAATTGATCTCACGTGATTTTCCCAAGAAGGGTTTTTGCTGATAGTAATACCAAGCATCGAGATAAATGTCTTCAAAGGTATGGTTACTCCTGACAAGCATATGTTGGGCACAGTGAGATCGGCTTTTCTAGAGAAAAGGCATGCCGAAAGGATAAATGATGAAAGATAACGATATCCATATATAAAAAATAAAACTGGCCCAAAAATTGACCCTTGGGGCACTCCGCATGCAATTTCATTATTTCAATAATCATCTAGAAAATAGTTCGCTTATTATGCGAATCTGACCTGTAGAGTTTCATTCAAAGCATCCGGCCTGATGTACAATATTTTTGTCTGCCCGTTGGGGAAACATTCTCTGGGTTGAATAGTGGCAGTGAATTCGAGAACGTCGCCCACATGTACGTCATTGCATCTGTCTGACAGATAAGTAGCGTCGATATTGTTGCAATTCGATGAAAAACTCACGTCCACTGCACTATCTGCGTTCGAAGTGAATTTCACTGTCTGCGATATTTTCTAGAACAAAAAATGGATGGTTAATCGATGTTCATAGTTGAGAGTGGGCATTCTGAATGGGTTGCGTGCAAGAACTGTCAGATGAACGACCCTGGAGGTGAAAAATTGAAACACAACCTCACTTTTCTAAGTTGCTTACAAGTGATTGAAATAGTTTTTCACAATTATTTTGGCATACGAATCGTGTTTTTCGGCTCATGCCATCACATTGTGCTGTTGTACAATGCACAAAAACTGCAGCGGGAGACGAAGGAATCCGGTTGGTACATTATGATTTAAAAGTAAGTACCTACTATAGTCACTCACATATAGTTTTCACTTTTTGAATTTGTTAATTTCTCTGATTTCTCATCGGAATTCCTTCTGCCGTAGGAGCTAATAGAAATACTCGTGAAATTTCTAAAATAATGCAAGAAGATAGGATTCATTCAATCAAACGGAAGGACCGGTCTGACATGCTGACGAAATATGATCGATTTTCAATCTATTAGCAGTATTAGCTAGTGAGATTACTATTTACCTGAAAAATCATATTCCTTCGTCTCTGGCTGCATTTTTTGTGCATTGTACAACAGCACAATGAGTAGGCATGCTTGAATTGATAAATAGCGCAAAAAACACGATTCGTATGACAAAATATTGTAGAAAACTATTTCAATCGTTTGATTCCTCTGTAAACCAATAAAATAAGTGAGGTTGTGTTTCAATATTTCACCTCCAGGGTTGGTCATCGTACACGCGACCTATACTAACCTCATACCTCATAGATTGTAGCTATATTATCCTCAGAACGATTAAATATAATCTGTGATAGACTGATACACAGGGTGATCCATATTATAATTTTTGGAAATAAGAATAAAAATACCGTTGTATTAAAATCGTTTGGATATACTCACATTATAGTTATCGACAACTAAGTTGATGACATTGTTGTCATCCTTCTCGTTAAGTTCTCCGAAATTCGAGTTTTCTATATGTTTCGACAACTCTTTGTAAGCTTTGCCGACGTCATTAGTTTTCTTGACTATAGCGAAAATTATGTTGATGTGGTTCTCTCTTGCCACATGGTTGATGTGCGATACTGAAGGATAGTCGTATTTAAGATAGTCACTCTCCTTAGCGTGACACTTTCCATTATTAGGTTCTACGACGCCGGCTAATTTGCCATCACCCGCTATATGAAAACCGGCATCTAAAAAAAACTTGACTCAGAATATTGCTCGAACAGTATACAGGGTTTTTCCGTTACCACCGATAAAACAAGGCCAGCAGACTCTGACGTAAACAGCTCGTGACGTCGCATACTCAGGCCATCTTCCAAGGCATTCGCGTCGATCGATCGTCAGTTTGTTTTTGTTTAGGAACGGTGGCGTAGGTAAATCGCGTGTGCTCGAATTCTCTTGTTGTTTATTCTTCAAAATAATTGGCGGAGAAATTACTGTTTTGTGAAATATTTCGTGTTGTGATAGGCGAAATAACAATGCCTTACAAGTGTTGTGTTCCCTTTTGTCGGGGGAATTATGTGGGTGGTCCAAAAGTTCATGCTTTTAGTTTCCCGTTGGACAAGGAACTATCGAAAAAGTGGGTACATGCAATTCACCGCAAGGATTTTACGACTCCATCTAAGTACAGTAAAGTATGTGAATTACATTTTACTAAAGATTATTACTTCATCTACTGCAACCGGTTCAAAAACTTGCAAAACTGAAACAATAGATTTGAAAATTCCTAGGCTCAAACGAGATGTTATTCCCACTCAATTTCTCAACTGTCCATCTTATTTATCGAAAGATGTAAAATTACGCACAAGTCGTGATGAAAAACTTGAGATACTAGAGACTAAAAATTTGGCACAAGCACTTACCAAAAGTAAAACTGAATTCGAAAATTACCAAAAATCATTGTGCTACACAGAATTTCAAGAATTTCTAGTTGTATTAGAGTCTTTTCAGTTGCCCGAAAAGTGGTTCAAAATTATCGATTTGCAAAAAGTCACATTATTCAAATTGTCTTATTCTCCAGGGCCCGTAATTACATATTTGGTTGTGATTGATTTTGTTTTGAATATGGAATCATTTTTGTATGACCTAGCGATACAAACATCTCTAAAAGCCAATCTGAAAACACATTTTATCTCTAATAATATCAATCAAATCAAGGAATTACTAATTGAAATAGATAAAAACGAGATACATAATTCGGGAAAATGTCTTGATAATCAGAAAAAGAGGGTTTTGAAACATATTTCGAATGCATTGTACTCTTTGGTTTCTGACTCAATACATTCTCAAATTTCTTTCTGAAAACGGTCATTTCCCTCGTGGCAATGAATGCAGAATTCATTCCAATGATCAAATTGCAACTATTATATTAACATGTATTACAAACACTCTACTTAAAAATTACTGTTTCAAGTCTAACGACCAATTGGGTAAAAAATCCAACAACAGGATATTGAAAACACTCACTGGCTAATTTTTTAGGTAATAGGAATTCTCCAAGATAAATATAGGTAATTAGGTATAACAAACGGCATGTCTATCAAACTAAAATACATTTTCCCCGATTTTCTTTCGATCAATCTCATGATAAGTTTATGTTCTGCGGGCCCTGTATAAGTAGGTGTGAAGTTTACCTCTAATGAGATTGAATCACTGCAATTTTTGCCAATATATTTAATTCGAATGGGTTGCTGTAGGTGGGTATTTGTGTTTTATTCTGGTTTTTGCTTTGAAACTTCGTTTTTCCATAATAAAATCGAATGGGATGCGAAGAAGGGCTCAGTTGACGGCTGGCATCCTCTTTCAACCGGAAGCCCTTCAGAAAAAAAGCAAAATCGGCTCAATAATGATCTAAAACTAAAATAGAAATACGCGGTCGCCTTATAGCGCTATGAGCGCTTGTCGTTTCGAGCCGCTGGTTAGGCCTGACTAAGTGACGTCACCCACGGAGCATGCAGGCCTTGTTTTATCGGTGGTAACGGTTTTTCACGGTAGACGTTGGTTAGAAGTTTTTGGGGATAGAAAAAACTAGAGATTCTGATTTCTTGGACTTAGGGGTTATTTAACATTATCTTCCATTTTTCTATATTTTCAAGGTCATACCACTTCCGGTTACACCAGAAGTCGCCATTTTCTTCCTAATTATGAATTAAACGCCCTGTATAGTATTTCAATTTTGGATTCACAAGAAAATTTCATGATGAGTTTCATCAGGTTCCCCTACTACCTATTTTCAGCAGTTTCTTAGATATCTTGATTCTTTGGAAAATTTTGAGAGATGACTTTTATAGTTTTCTGTCGAAAGGAAAATTGATTCCTCAGACCAGAGATTAATAATCTCTGCTCAGACCTTCAAGTCGTTATCCGAGAAGAAAAGTTTGAATGTCTGTTTTCTTACCGGTGGAAAGAATCAATAGATGGCGTGCTTGCGGTCGCCATTTTATTTGTTTCTTGCAGACGATGGCTTGCATAATGGCGTCCAATCCCCCTTCAGGAGTGTCCAAGTTGCCGGACACTTTTGAAGATCTCACCTGGTCCACAAATTTCGCGTAATTGACCGATAACGGCATATGGTTTTTGAAACTGTAAGGGCTAGCGCATCCGTCACAAGGCGCTCTCAATCTGAAAATCCAATAAACTTTGTATCGCAGGTTATACAATATGTCATTGTGTAATTGAATTCAACGTTGAATATTTCGACAGGAAATAGTATTTTTTCTGTGACGGGAAAAAAGTTTGGCATCTCATCTCTGTTGGCAGGTTATAAAATGTCACTTTTCATAAATTACTTTTTTCCCGTGGGAAAAAAATGAGTACTTCTTTCCCCGGATATATATCACATATTATATATACTCTGTTGATGGCTTTTGTTGTGCTATAGTTCCGAAAAATGAGTCAATAATACCGTCTCCGAGAAAGAACTTTCATCTTCCATTCGACTTCACGGTTTCGAATATTACTAAACAACTACTGAATTCGCAATTTTTCAAAATCAAATCACAGAATTGAACTGACAGAAGTGACATCAGATATTTGACTACTTCAAAAGAATGATAAAGATGCCTATAAAACGCAGGTGTCCCTACTGTTAAAAACTTGAAATTTCACGTCGATAATTTTCAGATCTCGAAATAATGTAATATCTTCTCAATATTGATTCGTCTTTCCTTCTGTCACAGAAAAAAATAGTGTATTATACACGGGAAAAATATTAGATTTTAGCTCACGGTTTTTTGTCTCCCTCCGCTACGCGTCGGGAGACAACACAACCTGGAGCTAAAATCTACTACTTTTTTCCCTTGTATAATAAATAACTATTTTTATCCTTCTGATTGAAAAAATATACAGGGTGAGTCAAGGTCGATGGTATATCTTCGACTAGGGTCCCTTGATGCAATTTGACGTATTTGTCATCTAACAGGGTACGGACAGATCATAGCTCCTTCCTCGTTTAATCATCTAGTGACTTTGTTTTCGTGTATTGGCGTCCCTGACATGACATTGCTTGCTGTCACGTCACATTCATAGACGTTAAAATAGATTTCTGGTGTTGAGTTGGCGGGAATTCGGTCGAAATGTTGAAGAAAACCAACTTTTAAATTGTCGGCGTTTCGAAACATTATTGTTTCATCTTCAGGACACTGAAGTAAAAACAAGAACATATATATTATAATGATATTTTGAAATGAGGGGTTGTGATAAAAGGAAAATAAGTTATGTGAAATAACAATCGTTGACAGTTCTGGCACGCGACCTATAGGTCGCGTGCACGATGACCGACCCTGGAGGCGAAATATTGAAACACAACCTCATTCTTCTGTAAATTATTGAAACACAACCTTACCACACCTCACTTTTTTATTTGGTTACAGAGGAATCAAAGGATTGAAATAGTTTTTCACAATATTTTGGCATACGAATCGTTTTTTTTTGTGCTATTCATTAATTCAAGCATGCCTTCGCATTGTGCTGTTGTACAATGCACAAAAAATGCAGCAAGAGACTAAGGAATAGGATTTTTCAGGTAAATAGTAATCTCACATAGTTATCATTATGAAATGTTGTCATTCCTTATTAAAATTCCTTCTGCCTTCTGCCACTCCTGCAATACAAGCTAATACTGCTAATAGATTGAAAATGTCTACAACACACACGATCGTCAGCATGTCAGACCTGTCCTCCCGATTGATTGCATGAATCCATTCTTCTTGCATTATTTTAGAAATTTCAGGTGTATTTCTATTAGCTCCTATCGCAGAAGGAATTCCGATGAGAAATCAGAGAAATTACCAAATTTCAAAAATGAAAACTATAGGTGACTATAGTAGGTACTTACTTTTAAATCATAATGTACCATTCGGATTCCTTCATCTTCCGCTGCAGTTTTTGTGCATTTTACAACAGCACAATGTGATGGCATGAGCGAATTGATGAATAGCGGAAAAATACGATTCGTATGCCAAAATAATTGTGGAAAACTATTTCGATCACTTGTAAACAAATAAGAAAAGTGAAATTGTGTTTCACTGTTTTGCCTCCAGTGTCGGTCATCTGACAGTTCTTGCACGCAACCCATATACAAAAAACGTCAAAACAGCAGTGTCAAATAGATTTAGGAACTCTGGAATACCTCTCCTTTCGGGTGCTGGTGAAAGGCAATTCCACTTTGTCTATGAAACTACCGAAACCAAGTTGGAAATTCGTGGTTATATTTCTCATCGTCATGGCCAACTTGCTGCCCAACTGGGCTAATTTGTCCTTGTGCGCTTTCATGGAATTCGACAGATCCATGACGTAGTACAGATCTACAGGGTAGTTCGCTGCTATCTTGTACCGGAACTTCAACTCGTGTTTCTGCCCCCTTCTCAGAGCCAGTCGTACTCGCTGAGGCATGATCTGGGTGGGGTTTTCTTTGTCGTTGGAGAACTGGTCGCTTTGGAGGATGCGGAAATCCGTTTTGGGGGACTCCAGCATGGCTTCAGACGGACACCAGAGGGCTGTCTCGTTTTTCGGCCGGCAGTGTACGACTGTTTTTTTGTCATCGGCCTGCTGAAAGACCGAATGAATTAGTGTTTTTTGCGGGAGTAAAGTAACTAGATTGTAATTTTGCCACGATCTCTTGAGATATTGAAATTTTGTTATATTATTTTTTAACGAAATGTTGAATTACCATATTAACAAAATTTAGGGGAATTAAAATTCGATGTTATGGGAGCATAGTGATTTGAACACGACAAATCGAATGCGCTAAAAAATAAACATAGCATTACATTCGAAAAAATGAAGTTGGGGGCTTTATAGGAAAAAGTGTAAAATTGGCAACGTTGCAAATATTATTTTTAGATCCGGCACTACTGATAACCCTCGTATACCAAATTTCATAACTTTATGACAAGCCGTTGCTGAAATATTCGGCCGTTCCGGTTCTTTTGGGAAACCCTGTTTATTATATTCAGGTACCTAATATGAATTAATATTTTTATTCCACTTACTGGGTCTAGAATGGGCTCACTGCACCAGGCACAGTCTATTTGTTGGATACACTCCTCGCATGTTTCTTTGTCACAATTACTCAAAGACAATTGGGCATTGCAAAATCCCAAAATAACTGAAATAAATAGAACGTTTCCTAACGTCATCGTTGAAACGCCGCTTTAGAGGAAATGATTAACGTATAGTGGTCAGTAAATACAGCGGATATAACTGCTGATAAGAAATGTATGCTTCACTGGGAAATTTTATTTGGTTGTAAATTCTTTGTATCTTCAAGATATCCTCATGTTACTCATAAGACGTGTCATTTCAATCATCAAATATTTGATAAATAAATATCGGTGCAATATGTTTTCATATCTTCCTGCCATAGACCTTTTTTGATGATAGATAACGGTAATACCTCCAAGACAGAGTATAATCGTGATTAGAACATAATTTCAAGAACCATATAATAGTGGATAATATAATATAGAAAACTAATAATGCAGGTGCATTTACCTTGAATTTCCCCTATTGAAAATATTCCATATTCAACAGATTCTTTTGAGATCTGAAAAATAAACATGATTTTTTTTATTGGTAGATACCGTATTTTACTTATTTAAAAAACGCCACAGCCTGTTTAATGGGCGTGTACACCTTAGTAAAACTTTTAACTCAAACCATTTTTACAATGATCCTTTTATAGATAAATAATGATTGACGACATAATTCGATCGAAAAATTAACTGGAATATTTTATTTTTGGGCATAAATAATAGTACCTTCTTAAAACGGACCCTCTTATGACGTAGAAACCTCATCTCGTCATAGTTAAAAGAAAATACCAAACGCCTCACGGAGACTGAGGCAATTGATATATTAATTTTTTCAACTGTGATCTCGTGCTAATTCACTCTATCAGAAATCATGTATCATTCATCTCTGTCTGGAATAGTACTATTGTTTCAGTATTAGGGTTTTGACGTCACATCATCGCCTCGTTTTCACAGGTCCGAAAAATCGGGGATTTCAATAATTTTTTATAAAACGTAGGGAGCTCACAGCAACAAACGGTTTGCGGTGGTGAGCTAGTTTGGGTGAGTCCTATCGAATTATGAAATAAAAATTTTTTGTGATATAAGCCCATTCCAACATTAAAAAACACGCGTATTTTAATGAAATTATCACGGCTACATCTATGGCAACACACAGCAACCTAAAATCTGAATGCACAGGCATGTAATATCAAATGAAATATACTTTTTTTTTTCAATGAGGTTATACGGTATGTATATATAGTTATTGCATGTACTATTATTATCACTTTTTGTTTTTCAAGCTCTATATTTTCAATCCAGATTCTTTGATGAATTCAATTACTTATCAGTTCCAGAATTTGTCTACTTTGCAGTGTTAGTAGAAAGAGTAAATTATACGGGGATGGCACATTCAGTTTCAATAGTTTGTTGTATAATTTATTCGAGAATGGGCGATTTTTTGTACATTCGAAAAATAAGTGGCCTAAATGTCCCTCAACATATTGCATTGTTTGATGCCTATGCGGCTCTGAGCACCCGGTATTTCCATAGTTACCTCCTCGTACGTAAAAAAAATACGCCCTCTTCCAATTTCGACGAATTAAATAGGAGTATGTGAACATTATGAGATTACCATAAGCCACATATAAGCATCAAACAATAACCATCAGTACTTTTCGAATTATCTTAAAAACAAATAATTTCATCGAAATTTTACAAAAGAATTGAACACTTGAAGAAAAATAGATTGGAAGTCATTAGCGCCCGTACAAAAAAAATATGGGGGTAAGTGTGTACTTGACCCCCAGTATTTGGAATATTTGACAGTTATTTTCTGCTTTGTTCTCCTCACACGATGTAACTCTTTGTGCTGAAATAATGTATCAATTTTGAGATTGATATCTCATTGAATACGCGCGTAATTAGAAAAAAACAGTTTTTAATTTCCAACTTTGACACCCTGTATATTGAATATGAAGGGCTAAAATGAAAAATGGTATTTAGAAACTCATATTGTTTTTGTTCAAGGAATATATTCATAATGGATTGACCTCCTTTTAGCGGACACCCTGTATATATGCATTTTTTTAAATGTTCATAATTTATCTAAGAATATTCCTTTTCAATATAAATATTTGTACTTGGCTTATAATTTGCCCAAGTGACCCCTGTTTCCTATAAGTCTGTGCATCTCTGGTTTAGATTATCAACTAGGTATATCACTTTTTTAACAAATAGAATTTTTCACCAAGAATGTAAAAATCTCTGTTCTAGTGAAGAGTAAAACACTATATAATAATATATTTTAAAATAATACAGTTCTTATACTCATATTTTAAGTTTTTTCATTGAAACCAGACAACTTTTCTTTGATTTCACTTTTTTTCTTTTTGAAATTCTTCTGGGTTTTGGAAATACTCTCCATCAAATGGTCTTTCTTTTCCTTTAGTTCTTCCTTAGTCTCTTTTATGGTCTCAATTATATCATCTTTTCTCTCCCTTAGCTCTTCCTTAGTCTCTTGTATAGTCTCCATTATATTCTCCTTTTTCTCTCTTAAATCTTCCCTAGTATCTAACATGCTCTTTGATAGTGTGTCCTTCTTCTCCATATATAATTCCTTCATTCTTTCTTTGCTAGGTACTGGTTTTATATAGCCCCATTTCTTCAAGTAGTTGATGGAAATAGTTGTTCCACCTAAAGTTACAGTGTATCTTGCAGGGGTGGCTATTTTGTACAAGGCATAAGATACTGCTATGTAACCCATGCTTGAGTCTCTTAGAGGGTTGACTAATTTTTCACTAACATGCCAGGATTCAAGAATAGCTGGAATATCGATTCCACTATAAAAAAACTTGATGTGAACACAATTGATCCTGAAGCAATTTTTATTTACCTTTTGGCCATGTAATAGAATCCTCCGAACCATACAGATGATGTGACAATGTGGACAGGTAAGAGAACATACCAATAATCTCTATACATCTGTTTGAATTTCTGGAAAATTGATAATTTTTTTGTTTCCTTCTCAAGTTCTCTGTCTTTATCATCATTAGGTAAAGCTGAATAGCACCTTATATAATCATATTTAATTGTTGATAAAATATGTCTATACTCATAATCTTTTGACTGAAGTACGGATTCTCGATTCAAATTGTAGGACACAAGAGAAGTGTATGGGTTGCAAGTGAGAATTGAAAATTCCTTTCCATTCTTTACTTTTTTAATGGAAAATAAACCAGTGATTCTACGAGAAAGAACTTTCGCCATTGTGAATCTTATTTCTAGTTAATATTTGTTGAATATTTCTTGGAATACTTTTAGCAATACCATCATTTTCTTGTCTTATGTGAAAATGAACTGAATTTGAAAGTTATTCACACAAATACCGAAAAACTCATTGACGCAACTATAACCTATAACCTCAAATTTCTTCTTATTATTTTCATATTAGTTCTTATCTTCTTCTTTTTTCGCAACCCCTTGACAATGACAGGCCTCATTAATCATTCTTCTTTATTTTAAGGCTTTGATCAATAATGGAATTAGTTCTTATTTCAGAAGTTATTTATTGTGCCACGAGAGCCTAAAGTTTTCGAACCATTCCCAATCCCGGGTGTCGAAAGAAAGGAAAAACATCATTGAACACCTAATAATCACTGAACAAATGATCACAGTGGACTGACGCCATGCTATTAGAGGACAAGAATTAAACTCCCTGCCAAACTCTCAGCCTTCACAATTTTATTGCGAGAAAAGAAATAATCATCAGAAAACACGAATCTTAAGGTGATGGGAATGGTTCGAAAGATTTAGGCACTTCTTAGATGTCAAAAAAAAAATTCAAAACCCTGAACCTCCTTCGTCCTTGGATCCTGTTATTATTCCTGTTCCTGTTATTTTATCATATTTTTTTCATTTTATCTAGATTTTATCATACTTTCCAGGATTCTTGTCCTTGGCACATTGATGATTGGTGATATCTGATATCTTGGCACAGTTTCGTTATTGGCCTTGAGGTCTGTAGTGGTCCTTAGGGAGAGTAGACAAGAAAAATGCTAATTATGAAGTGAAATGTGAAATATATTCAGATGCCGTTTATATGCGGAAAACATCCAAGATATATTGGAAAAAACAAATATGTAACATCTACCAGTTCTTTGGTGTATGAACTGATCGATCATATCTGAATTATATCAAAGTAAACAAGACAATTACCATCAAGGATTTATTAGCCCTATCCCTGAGTACTTCGGATATGGTCTATAATGATAATCAATATTTTAATGGATTTAATTAAACTGATAGGGCAATAAAGTTTCCAAATAAAGTGAACCCAGCCATTTGGTAAATGATAATGTGACATAACCATGACACTATCAGTAATAGAATATTATTTATCTTATCTTTCCATCAAGTGAAACCAAATTAGAAGCCTATCAAAATTTGCAGTAATTAATACACTGAATATCAATTGGAATAGCTGAAATCATGGCCTCAGATACAAATGAACTGTTTCCTATACCTGCATACTGCAAAACAATAGTTGGATCAGAAGATGGAACCATTGAAGACAGTCCTTTACAGAAATTGGAAATTTCTAATCCTGCTAGAATATTACAACTTTGTGAGGGCCTTACTGATAGAACAACAAAAAAACTTGAAATCAAAATTAACAAATATGTAAGTACCTACATAGAACTTGACTAGATGACACTTTTTGATGGCTCTTTAATATGTTTCAGTTGCAAGCTGAAACTGATGCTTCTAGTGTTTTCATGATAAATCTTCTGACAGTATCTGAAGAGGCTATGGTCCAAGTGGTTGGAGATAATATCTTAGAGACAAGCATTCGTACACCTCTTTCTGAAGACACCATCAGTGACATTGTAGAGTACAAGGATAATAGTCTGAAATGTGCTGAGAAGCTTGATCCAAAACTGCAAACTTTGATCAATGAGATTGTTACAAAAGATACAGGGGATCTGAACATTGTGCCTATTGTTGCCAAAGAAAGAAGAGGTAGGAAGGTAATTTGTGTTTTTTGTTTTTTGTTTTCTCATAAAATGAAAATATATTTCCATTCTGAAAAATAGCACTACTTTGTATATAGTGTTATCAAAATATATGTGATTAAGCGCTCAAGATTAAATCAGTATTAGGTCAAGCACTTCAGGTGGATGATAAAAAAGGAGCAGATAATATACAGGGTGTCCGCTAAAAGGAGGTCAATCCATTAACCATATATTCCATGAACAAAAACAATATGAGTTTCTGAATACCATTTTTCATTTTAGCCCTTCAGATTCAATATACAGGGTGTCAAAGTTGGATATTAAAAACTGTTTTTTTATTAATTACTAGTGTATTTAATAAGATATCAATCTCAAAATTGGTACATTACTTCAGTCTACTTTACAGGAGACAAAAATTACTCAAAAATGATTGAACACTTGAAGAAAAATAGGTAAGAAAAAAAATATGGGGGTAAGTGTGTACTTGACCCCCAGTATTTTGAATATTTGACAGTTATTTCTGTTTTGTTCTCCTCACATGATGCAACTCTTTGAACTGAAGTAATGTACCAATTTTGAGATCAAAATCTTATTAAATACGCCGGTAATTGAAAAAAAAACAGTTTTTAATTTCCAACTTTGACACCCTGTATATCGAATATGAAGGGCTAAAATGAAAAATTGTATGTAGAAACTCATATTGTTTTCATTCAAGGAATATATGGTTAATGGATTGACCTCCTTTTAGCAGACACCCTGTATATGTGCTTGATTAATATTTATCTCTTGAATAGGTATGAAAAATGTGTAGCATTCGCTTTTTTTTTGTGATGATACTCTCAATTTGATTTTCCTCATAAAGCACAAATTAACTAGGTTCATTTTTTTCACTTCTTCTATATAGGTACCTATATATTTATATACAGGATGAGACAAAAATGTTTATGGAGCTTTGTGGAGGTGATTGTGCATTAAAAAATAAGTATAGTTTGATGAATGTACTAATATCCCACAAGGTATATTATGGGAGATATATCCTTCCAAAGCTGAAAAAATTGAAATAATTTTCCTGCATAACTTCTAATGGGTAAAATCCACGAAATTGAGATTTCTTGCATAAATGTCTGTTGACAAATTACATTTCACTGATATACTTCTAGATTTATGATATTGTTATAAAGGGTGTTTTTAGTGGGTGGGTCATATGATTCTTTGAAGACAGCTTTTTTCCTCGTATTCTTTTTGGTGAAGTATTTGATGAAGCAAAAAATAACACTAATACGGCACTCTTATCAAAATGAAATGGATGCTCGTATTTTTTCACCAAAAAGAATAAAAGGAAAAAAGTTATCTTTAAAGGATCATGACCCACCCACTAAAAACACCCTTTATAACAATTTCAGAAATGTAATAGTACATCTAAAAAATGTATCTTATCAACATACATTTATGCAGGGAATATCAATCTGGTGGCTTTCACCGTTTAGAAGTTATGTGGAAAAATTATTTTAATTTGATCAACTCAGGAAGGATATATTATTATCTCCCTTAATTTTCAATTTGGGCCATTTGAGGGTTTCTTAATACTGTGGTAATTCTTTATCGTTCTTTATTTTATAACAGTCAGGTAAGTCATTGTAAATTGTTGGGCCCTTATAGTAAATGTGGTTTTGACAAACTTTGTGTTTGATGTCATCAATAATTTTTGAAGGAATAGGTACTCTCCACATGACTGGTATCTATACACTACAATGCAGCACTCAGATAGATTTTTGTTTAAATCTAGAGGAAGGAGAGGTGTATTTTGGAGCTAAGCAGCATTCACCTTTTTGTAAAACCAAGGCCTACTAAATCACATTCAGAGGCTGGAAAATCCAGAATCCATAATAGCGATTTTTTGAAAAAATCTGCGTACACCACTGGAAGGCGGCGTCATCTGAAATGAATCTGTACCAAGTTTCTTGAAAAAATATTCAACATTAACGAATCTACAGTGTGTCTCATTGCAAACGCCCTCCCCCCCTCTATCTCGGATTATAATTACAAAACTCGTCAGCCATATTGGTTCCGCCATCTTGAATTCACAAATTCCGCCGGAATTTTCCAATTCTGACGAAAGAATCATAATCTCCGACCCCGAAAACCCCCAGATACCAATTTTGAATAGAATCGCCATCTTGAATTTCCTAATGGTACCGGGATTAAAAGTATCCTATACATGAAAACAAACAATCAAATCTTTCCTCTTTATAATTTTAGTATAGATTGCATTCAATAGCATAGCTGCACATCACTGCTAATATCCTTGTTCCATATCATCATTTTATTGTAGAATTACATTCAATAGCATAGCTGATGATGAATTTATAAAATTTCGAAACATGTCCTATAGTCGCCTTTTCATTAGATTGATTAGATAATAAATGTGTAGATGACTGGAAGTGTGTTTACCACTTTTGATATCACCATTTCGGTATTGCAGCCAACATACCCAAGAAGACGATAGTAAGCCCCGTGTACCTCGTGTGTTTCGTGAACTCCTCCAAGGACAACAGGTACATAACGACGCTGGTCCATGAGACGTTCAAGTACTGTCTCGCCCTCCTCCTCAACACGCGAGAGTGCGAGGAGGAGCGCCGGCTGAAGCAGCAATGTCAGTCGCTGTTGGCCGTCGCCAGGAAGCTCTTCTCGCATTTGGGCGATCTCAATGATCTGCTGAAGGAGATCATGTCCGAGGCGAGGCGGTTAACCAACGCCGAGAGGTTCGTTCGCGATTTTTTCCCTTTTTTCTAGTGAATCATTTCGATTTTGACGAGAAAGAGAGGGTTGGTTCGCCTTTTTTTTAGTATAATATCTCGATTTGGCAACAGCGCATCCAACTGGAAGAGATAGCGAGAGAGAGAGAGAGAAAGAGAGAGAGCTGAGAATGAGAGAGAGCTGAGATTGAGAGAGAGCTGAGATTGAGAGAGAGCTGAGATTGAGAGAGAGCTGAGAATGAGGGAGAGCTGAGAAAGAGGGAGAGCTGAGAAAGAGAGAGAGCTGAGAAAGAGAGAGCTGAGAATGAGAGAGAGCTGAGATTGAGAGAGAGCTGAGAATGAGGGAGAGCTGAGAAAGAGGGAGAGCTGAGAAAGAGAGAGAGCTGAGAAAGAGAGAGAGCTGAGAAAGAGAGAGGGCTGAGAAAGAGAGAGAGCCTAGAAAGAGAGAGAGAGCTGAGAAAGAGAGAGAGAGCTGAGAAAGAGAGGGAGCTGAGAAAGAGAGAGAGAGAGCTGAAAGAGAGAGAGAGAGAGAGTTTTTGTATCTCTCATAGTATCTCGCTTTGCTCATACGTTAAAATATCTCGATCGATCATTAATCGCCCTCATTAATACCCTAGCTGGTTAAATAAATATTATAGGGCTACTTAACATTTTGAAGCTACTAATTTAAAATGGTGATAGATTTAGATAGATTGTATGTTCTTGCATGGTCAAGTACACAACAAAAAATGTGTCGTCTCATTCCCACAATCCTTCAATGCATTCTCAGGTGCAGTCTGTTCTTATTGGATCCTGACCATATGCACCTTGTTGCCAAAGTTTTTGACGGTATGAGTCCCGCTGAGAAGAATACTGAGGTTCGAATAGCTAAAGATCAAGGAATCGCAGGTTAGTTATTATACTAAAAATTCAATCACTTTGACAAATAATACTTTATTTCAGAACAAGTTTTGTACTTGATTATTCACATTAACAAGATGATCCACCTTCATGTACATTGTTGAAGCCAGTTGTTGGCTGGTTCATAGGTTGCTGAACTATCTTCTAAATACAAATATTTCAATCCGGCCCTGATTCGACATTCCTTCTTGCATAAAAACGTCTAAAAATAAACTTCGGATATATTCTGCATTACCGATCTCTAGCCTTCGCTACTCAACAAAAAGTAGTTCATCTTGTCGCTCATAGATACCATCCACTACTCAAAGAAATAGAAAGATTGTCTGGTTTCATTGCATTCATTTCATAAGGATGGTTCATCTTGTTAGTGTAAATAATCATGACCAATTCGCGAGATTCACGAAGTGGGCGACATCTAGGTTACATGATACGAACTTCAAACTGGGGGAAAACAAACTGTTGTATCGGTGGTAACGGTAAAGTGCATAGACTACATTGCATTCAGCTACATTGCTGTAGCTGTAGTCAAACTTGTCAATGACATAAAGTGTTGGCACTGTTGGTAGTGATGATGGTTGAGTTGGTTAATTTTTTCACATCATTACATTTTTATTAGTTTAGTGAACAGTGAACGGGTGAAGAATTGGAGATAGTGATAGTTCAAACAATTCAATCTAATAATGACGAGCAAATCAATTGACATATAAAAGAACAGCTACAACATGTTTACAATACCCAGATTGTCCTGCTTTGCATAAACAAATACAAATCCATTGTTCTACAGGAGTTCCTCTGGAAACCAATTTCAATTTTACTTCATGTGGGTAAGATTTCATCGCCGAAGTTTGTAGATAAAGTGCAAAAATGTGCCTTTTGTTGAAGTCTTCTGCCTCACACAAAATCACATGATTAGCATGGAGAACTGCTTCTCCTTCCACTACTGGTCGGCTTTTTCCATCTAAATAGAGCAAAATATCTGCCAAAAGTACATCTACAACAGGCATTATTAGCGTTTTCGATCAAATATTGACAATTATTAATGTCAAGAAATTTGAAAACTTATCACTCTTATCAGTACACAGTACACAAGCTAATGGCACTGATGGGATTGAGTGAGGATTGAGTTTGTTTTCCCCCAGTTTTGACGTGGCTTTGACATGGAACGATGAAAACCGAGCGCCACCTGGTAACATTGATTCCCGCGAATACATATGTTGAGTAATTTATGAAAAGTGACATTTTATAACCTGTCAATAGCGATGAAATGTCAAACTTTTCTGCCGTTTCTCGAAGGTCACGTCGCCGCTACCGGCACCATCCTCAACATCAAGAACGCCTACAAACACCCGCTTTTCTACAAGGGCATCGACGAGGCCACAGGCTTCAAAACGCGTAATATCCTCTGTTTCCCCATTCGCGACGAGGACACGATAGTAGGCGTCGCCCAGCTGTGTAACAAAATGGACGGGCACTTTGATTACTTCGACGAGCAGGTGGCGAACGCGTTTAGTATCTATTGCGGCATTTCGATCATGCACAGTTTGGTGTACAAGAGGATACAGGACGCGCAGGCCAGGAGCCAGTTGTCCAACGAACTGATGATGTATCACATGCAGGTAACAAGATTACTGCGATTCATTAATCAATCATCGAAAATCATACGCCAAACATGGATAATTGAAAGAAATCGCGAATGGTGGGGATAATATCCATAGACATATAAAAAGAGGGGAGACTTGACATCTCAGTCCCAAAACACTATTTGATCAAAATCATACATTCAAAGTTTCAAATAACGTGAAGGCCCGTATTTATAGTCGCTCGTCCCTTAAGGACCAGTTTTCAATTTATAGTCGTAATATGAGCTCTAAGGAAGCCTCAAGGAAATATCAATTCCAAGGAAGGTAAAGAGGTACCTTGAGCATTCCTTGATTCAGTTTCTAGTATTATTTCAAGTTATGTCATGAATTTCATCTTCATTTTGCGGAAACTTGGATATGTATTGTCTATGATCCAAGTAATATGCTGTTAGGCCCAATTTGAACCAACCTTTGAAGATTATTACTGGATTATTAAAATCTTTCGATGTGTGATCCACACTTCACAGTAAACAATAAACATTTTCAAATTTGACATACTACATTTTGTGATAAACACGTGACATGAAACAACAAATCTGATCACAGAACACTGAAAGTATACACTGTCGCCAAGTGTGAGGGCTCCTTCTAGAAGGAATACTCAAGGGAGGTCTATAAAACCAGTTCAACGTCAAGTGCTGAGGAGTCCTCAGATAAGGAAGACTTTAGGAGTTCTTGAAGAAACGACTATGAAAATGTCTTTAAAAAATGGCAAAGCAGTAAACTGTGCGTCAATGGTTGTGTCAAGTCTGTGGTTTGACCGGACACATACGTTCAGTTTGAGGTCTGACCATCATCCTGTCCAACTAGCTGTTTGGAAATATTGGTCACGTTTCAAACCTGCCCACAAAGTTACCACGTTAACATTGGATGACAGTCGAGTCAAACATTGACCATTCCGATATCTCCACTGTGGTTGAATGACTGACTTGACACAGCCAATGTTCACACTTTTTTTCACCAGTCACGTCGGTCAAGAGGGGGGCAAGACAATTTTACTACAATGGCCGCTATTTTACCTAGTAGAAACTGTTTGAGTCTAATCTTCTAATTTTAATACCAAAATATTCGAAGTACTCTAGGTACTTACCTAATTTTTATCTATGATTTGTGGATGAATGCTCAGAGTAGTTAACAATTCCGCGATTCATTCATAAATTATTAAAGAGCGTATGTCAACAATCCTTAACGCTAAACACAAATAAACTAATGAAATCGTGAATGGTGGGGATAACTCTACGGAATCATTGGCAGAGAATTGATATTCTTCCTAGATATATTTTATGCATCTAATATATAGGTCTCGTGCACGATGACCGAACCTCACTCTTCTGTGAATTATTGAAACACAACCTCATTTTTTTATTTGTTTACAGAGCAATCGAAGGATTGAAATAGTTTTTCACAATATTTTGGCATACGATAATTTCAAATACGATTCCTATGCCAAAATAATTGTGAAAAACTATTTCAATCACTCGTAAACAAATAAGAAAAGTGAGGTTGTGGTTCAATGTTGTTCCTCCAGGGTCGGTCATCTGACACTTTTTGCACGCAACCCATCAGATCATCGCTTCTTTTAGGTTAGCGACCAGGACGTAGCCGACGTGGTCACGTGCCCCAACTCGCACGACCTGCCGAACTTCGAGAGCTTCTCCTTCGTGCCGCGCAGGGTGTTCCACAGGGAGACACCCTGCTTCGTCCTCGAGATGTTCGAGCGCTTGGATCTGATCGACCATTTCCGTATCAAGCGCGACACCCTGGCTCGGTTCATTCTCTATGCCAGGAAAGGGTACCGGGATGTGCCTTATCACAATTGGCAGCACGCCTTTTCGGTGGCCCATTTCGCGTTTTTGTGCTTGAGGAATTTCCAGCTGGTCGAAAAGGGATATTTGTCGTGAGTATTGCGAAACTTGATAACTTTCAGGGGCAGGATGTATTTGTACGTCCACACCTCGGACTGAATAACAATAGATACGACACCGCGATTCATTCATAAATCAATGAAAAGTATTCGCTAACAATCCTAAACGCCAAAAGCAGGATACATGAATGATGTCCCGAATGGTGGGGATAATTCTGCGGAATCATTGCCAGACAATTGATATTTTTTATTGATATATTTCATGTATCTAAAAAAACGGGATTTCTATAATAATGCAATGGGGAAACCATAGGGAAGCGCTGACCTTCGTTTTGACTGATTAATATTGGAGATAATATTGCACCTACCTAATACAGTTTTCCACTGTACTCAAATTATGCATCCACTCAGTGTATACCTATCCTTGAATAACCATACATGATGAAAATAAAAACAACATTCAGTGCATAAAGAGTTCGAGCTTGTGCGACGAGTAGAAAACAATATAATACCTGTAATGAATTATCACCTGACGTAAACGTTTAATTTTTTAGATATTTATTTCGTCACGTACTATTTTCTTATTTGGAATGGAGTATAATGTTAATATAGTCATGGTAAGTTTTGCTGTTTGTCGAAGTTTTTTTTTTAATTATCGCTGTTTTTAATCACACTGTATTTTATATATATATATATATATTTCGTCGAGTAGTTTTGGAAAAAAGGTTATGTAAAAAGTAGTTTTTTGAAAAAGTACTCGAGTCTCTCTGCTCTCTTAGATATTCGAAAATATTACAGATAAGATTTTCACATGGTCCTTCGAGCCGGATCTGTAATCGAGAGTTGAAACCATGTGAAAATCGTATCTGTCATATTTTCGAATATCTTCGGTAGCAGAGAGCCCAAGCACTTTTTCATTAAAAACTCCCTTATACCAACCTCCCTATTTTTTTCATAACAACAACCCTTCCTCTTTTTTTTTCAAAACTACTGGACCAAATAGTATATAAAATATAGTGTGATTGAAAGTAACAATACAGATCAAAAAAACTAACACTGTTCTTGATTAAACATCCAAACAAGCCCAAATGAAGAAATAAACATAAAACAATGAAAACATAACCTCAATAAAAACGCAACTATCAGCAAGGTTTGGTGTAAAAGGTAAAACTGGTTTCAGGCAAAACGAGGGTGGGGTGCCAAATCTAATTCACTCATTTCTTGAAAATGGTGAAATTCCATCTCGCATTTCATTTCAGAAAATTAGAGGCCTTAGCATACCTTATATCGTGTCTGTGCCATGACATAGACCACAGGGGCACTACCAACGCCTTCCAACAACAATCGAACAGCGTACTGGCCAGTCTCTATTCCAGCGAAGGATCTGTCATGGAGAGACACCATCTCTCACAGACCATTTGTACCCTCAATACGGAAGTAAGTGTTCTTTCACTTTGATAATATTCATAGGGGGGTAATTATATTATATTCTTGTGACGCTACAAATCGCGAGAATAGAATCTGAGATTCAATTATGAAAAATAACAATGAAAAATGTTTGTATTTGTTTGTTTATTAAAAATATACCTTCATCATTAATAGTAATACAATAAATTTTGATAATAATGATAATTACATTTATTCGTAATTCATACATACAATCTATCTGTGATAAAAAATAAGCGTACGTCACCTATCGGAGTTCTTGAAAGCTGTCAAATCGACCTGTTCACTTTGTTTTCATCATCAAAGCAAACCGCTCAGAAGTGTTCCAAGTTGTTGTCGCCAGGTGGGGCAACGTTATATTCTATCGTGAATAATAATTTGTCGATATTCTCGATGATATCACCGATAATTAGAACTAGAAATTTCAGATTTTTTTGTTCTGTTGTTTTTAGGGTTGTAACTTCTTAGAGTCTCTCAGCAGGGAAGATTATATCAAGTGCTTAGATCTGATAAAAAATATGATTCTCGCTACCGATCTGGCTATTCATTACAAGCTACATTCTAGACAATTGGCAATGGCACAGGTGAGAATGAAGTATTATTAGTTATTCTTTTTATTAGTGTTTCCATTCGAATTGGGCTGAAAGACTTCAGTCAATGACCATTTGGGGTATATCCATTATCTCTGTCTCATTTAAATTATGCAACTCATTGGCAAATACTTTTTGAACACTGAGGGAGTGATCTGATTTTTTTATTCACAATCTCTATGCCAATGTTGAAAAAAAATTGCGGAAGTTTTGGGTCAATTATTATATTTTTGTTTTTATAGGAAGGCTTCACCAGATCGAATCCGGAACATCGATATTATTTGTGTAGTTTATTGATGACTTGTGCAGATCTGTCGGATCAAACGAAGGTATTATCTCTAGCAAATAAACAATCCACTTTTCGTAACCCTTGAAATGTATTTTCCATCTAGGATTGGCCTGAAACAAAGAAAGTAGCCCAACTGATCTACACGGAATTTTTCATGCAGGGCGATTTGGAGAGAAAAATGGGCAAACAGCCAGTAGATATGATGAACAGAGAAAAAGCATCTATACCAGATCATCAGCTGGAATTCTTGACTGAATGTTGTATCTGTATATTTAGGTAAGAAACCAGTTCATAATAATACCTCCGAAACTAAAATTTTCCTATCCAGACCTTATGAATCAAGAAATGTTCTCTTGTGCTTGCTAAATAAAAATCTTTTGCTCAAAACTGATGATATAAATTCTTTGACAAACATTTTTTGCAGCATTATGTTGATACACCTTTCTGTTGAAACTAAAAAAAATTGAATTCCTATCATAAAATCCTTTCATGAAGCTGAAAGGAATTGATCTCACCTCATTTCTACAGGTATAGTTTTGAAATTTACTATGGGATATCTTCCAGTCTAACTTCATCAAAAATCATAGGTAGGACTCCTCTAACAATATTTCTTCTCTGAAGCTATTGTCTTATTGTACATATCTCCCTTTTTTTGGTTAAATAACTTTGTATTACAAATAGAAAAGGAAATACTTAACATAATTATAATGAATTTTTATTCAATTTTTACTTGTGATTTTTTAGATTTTAGAGAACCTAGAGTTCCTAAATGTACTTGACACTGCTGTTCTGACGTTTTTTTACGGACACTATGACAAGCACTGACAATCAGACATAACCACAAATAAATTGATGGAAAAAGCGGGAACTGACAGTAAACAAACGTACATGACATACATTTCAAAGGTTTAACAAATTGGGAGAATTAGGAGAAAGATGCAAGTTTGTGCAGTTTCCATATGTGAGAACACGGGAAATCAATTCACCCTATTAGAATTTCCATCGGATAACGTGATTCTACAATAATGGAAACACAATATGATGCGGCCGGCATGGAATATAGGTTCAGGCCACAAAATTTGCGAGGTATTCAAATTTCTTGGTAGGATATAGAACATTTTTCAATATATTTTTATCAGGTACACTTCAGAAAGGAAAGATTTGATGTTGAAGAATAGGATCGTATTGAGAGAAAGAGCCGAAATTACAATTTTTAAACTGAGCCAATAAGAAACGAAAAACTCGCAGATATTCGAACATATTTTGAAAGAAAAAGACTCGAGAATCGAATTTTTAGAGCAGGAATATTAAAAAATCCAAGTCGAAGAAAGTGAGGAATTCAGGAAACAAATAGAAGAAAAAAAGATAGTGAGGAATTCAGGAAACAAATAGAACAAAAAAGTAGAGTTGGAAAATAAGTTAAAGCAAGAAGATTTAGATTCAAAAGTCAGACATCAGAACTATTACCTTAAAATTATTTCAGATTTGAAACAAAATCAGCAAATACAAGAAAATTGAACAAGCAAATATCCATAAAATTTTGAGCAAAATTCATAGTTTCGATGAACAATACTTTGAAAAACTTTTGTATTTGAAAAACCGGATGGTATAACAAATTAAATAATATTAATGAAAATGTTGCTTTATATTACCATGATTCATCTCAAAATTCAAAATTCAATGCTAACAGATGCGATGCAAAACGTTTGGAAAAAGCGTTGGTGATAAAATTCACGTGTGGTTCATCTGGTTACAATATTTTATTGAAATTTCATTACGAATTACCATCTTGTACAAGTGAAAATGTTGCATACGAAAAAAGTATGTTTCATTGGTTGAAATTTATCAGTTTTCAACCCATTTTGAAATATGGAAATATTCAACTGAGCGAATATAGGATAATTTGGTAGGATATAGAACATTTTTCAACACATTTTTATCAGGTATACTTCAGAAAGGGAATATTTGATGTTGAGGAATAGGATCGTATTCAGAGAAAGAGCCGAACCCACAATTTATAAACTGAGCGTGTATCGAAAAGAACCTTATTCCAATTCAGAACCAACAAGAAACTTGCAGATAATGAAATTCATTTGGAACATATTTTGAAAGAAAAAGACTCTACAATCGAATTTTTAGAGCAGGAATATTCAAAAATCAAAGGTTCACCGAGTGGAAGAGAGTGAGGAATTCAGGAAACAAATAGAAGAAAAAAATATACAAAAAACGTCAAAACAGCAGTGTCAAGTACATTTAGGAACTCTAAGAGAACCTACTTAACCAATATTTCTGTTCAAAAATCTTCAAATCGCGTGACAAAGATTTCTTGACATCTCAAGCCATTTGAGTCAAACAGGCACATCAAACAAATTTGATCAAACTGTTGGACCGTGAGACACGGCTTTTATTGGTTGATCGATTGTCACGCGTTTTTGTTTGCAGAATTTTGTCAACGATATTTCCTTCTGCTAAAACGTTGGTGGATTCGATAACACGGAACATAATAGCTTGGGAATCCTCGAAGAATGTCTTCGACAAACTGAGAGTTGAAGGTTGTACGTCATACGACGTTTTGATCAGCGAGGAATTGGAAAGACAAGTTCAAGCAACGTTGGAGTGTATGCAAGATCCCTAAAGTAAAACGAGTAAAGGTAACTTGAAAAGACAGGACTGCAATAATTGTTAACAGTATTTATGAGGAACTGACTAAAACTGCATAACAAACTGAATAGCACATTTTTCTGAATTTTATCAAGAACGTGTGACTGTAAGAAAATCAAAGGGACCATTGAAAACATTGGAGAGGTAATATCAAGAGTGAATATCAAATTTAAATCTGAAATCTATTCAACTTTATTATCTTTTCATGAACTATACCAGTAGTCTGTTGAGTATGGACACAGATTAACGGATCTAGACAGTTATTTCATCTTAGCTTGACCATAACATGATTTCTTAAAAAAATGTCTAATGAGTACTTCTTTTTTATTTTTACAATATCAATTCTATAATTTATATCAAAGATTCATCGTAGTATTTGATGATATCTATTATAAAAGACACCATTTCGATGCGATTCTGTTTCAATGCGATCCTAAATTGAATATCTTGTCCGCATTTGACTCCCATTTATTAGATCTTGCAGCAAACTCATATAAATTGATCCATGAATACGGGTCTTCATTTATGCCGGTGAAGGGAGTTATCTTCATTTGATTTGTACCTGCCGTGGTCATGTTGAGCCATTTCTCCATCATCATATTTAAGTCGTTTTTATCTATTCTGATATCCTACGCGTATAAAATCTGCTACCGACTGCGCCATTTATAATAGATATCATCAAATACTTCGATGAATCTTTGATATAAATTATATTCCTCAACTCGAAGATTCATTATTATTTATTAATATTTACATCTTACTATAGCAACATAACCTATTCAAAATAAAAGATGAACTGATATTGATAATAAAGAGTCGGATCTTACAAATTTATTATCAATTTTTTAATAAATTGTACTGTTCACTCTGTTTTGATAAGGATCATGATAAACTCTCTACAATCAAAATTGCCAGATGATTTATTTTTATACATTCACTTTATCTCAAGTTCATATCAAATTAGGCCTTCAATTTTCGTAATTTTATCGAAATAAAAACAAAAACGTAGTGATTTTCTCATTGATCTGTTGTTGAAAAAGTCAAATCCATGACTTTGAGGCACTCTACATTCAACGATTTTATATTAGATGCAAATCTAGAAGACTTAGTAGAACTTGGTGTCCCAAGATTTCTAAACGAATTTGGAATGTGACAAAGGAAACTAACCAAACTGTGTTATTTCTCAAGTTTCTGTTAGATTAAAAAAAATAACAAAGCAGTTAACAAAGACTAGACGCTGACTGTGATTAGGTCGCTTGACTCTCAAGCTGCATAGCTGCTTCTGAAATATATGTGTACTAGCTAGTCATTAGGATGTATCAAAAAAGGAAATTTGTTTTTCGAAAATATAAAAAAACATGATCACGATTTTGTCTTATTCCTTCCAGGAACCACAGAATTGAATGCTTTTTGGTTATGTTCAATAAGTATTCAACCTTTTTTTGAAGAATTGAAAAATAGGAAAATCATTGGTGAAATATCTGAAAACAACTACTTTCCTGGCCGAAACCAAAGACTTTATATTCAGAATTATGGCCCACCCTATATTCGTTCAAATTGAATGTCAGTAGAAGTAGAATCAGTATTTGCACATGTCTGTGATAGCCGGTCAGTAACACATTCCATCGCACAGTAGCGGGTATCTGAGAGTGCTAAACGCTAACAGGACATGTAAGCCGTTTGGACCAATAATTTAGTACTTTAGACCCAAGGAAATACGGAAGTTTTTACACCTTATATATATATCTGTAATGAATTCCCTCAAAGTGTGATGGATTTTTATCTTTCTCAAACAGCGAAGCCGTTATCTCACTTTGCCACACTCTTGGTCCACTCTGTACATACAAAAATGAACAAATGATCCCAGAATATCCCATAATCAGATATAAACAATTTATTGTGTATATAAATTATATCGGAAAGTCTATTTCTAACTGATATGTAGCGCCATGTCAAAATTAAGATAGGTGAGATTATGTTTTCCTTTATCAACTTCATTTAGCGATCAGTTGCTACCAACCTCGGGGAACACAAAATTAGGTTGGTAGCAATGGTGGTGGCCTAGTGTTAAAAACATACCTCTAACCCCTCTATAATATGACATTGAAACATTGTTATTATTGTTGAAAGCAGATGGTACCATAGAGTAGAACTATTTCCTCTTTAATGTGGAATAGTAAAAAGTAGTCACTTGATGGTATTAGTTAGATAAGATTTCAGACACAGCTGAACTTTAGTCCTTTTCTATTTTCTATATGACAATGGTTTGAGTGAATAAGAGAATAAGACATATTCTGCTCTTTGTTTTTTCAATTCCTCTAGTAAAAACTAGGGTCCCTTTATGTAAATTGACGTATTTGTCATCTTAACAGGGTACGGAGTGCTCCTCGTCTCCTCTCACTCTGAAGTGTTTGTGAAACAGTTATATAGTTCCATCTTGATTCATTTCTGGGGATAAACACTAGATTCCCGTAATTTCCACATGTAATTTCTCATTCAACTATACATATTATATCCAAATGATGACGATAATTTTCGAGTTTTTGATTTTTCAACTCCAGCATTATCTTTGTGAGGCAGTGAGCATATTTTTCCGAAAGTTTGACACGTTTTACCAAATGGGACTGTTCTTAGGCAGTTAGGTTAGGTTAGGTTAGGTTCCATGTGAGTGGGGCGAACACCTCCCCTCCACTGCGACCCCAGATGGGTCTATTGTGGCTCACCCCTAGAGGTTACAGTTCACCGTACAATCCACATCTTTTTACAAAGTTCATGGTTGAATTGGGTGAGATTTGTCTGAAATCGATAGGTTCTAGGTTGGTAAAGCCAAATGTGTCGAACCTTAGTCTTTCTAAGCTAGAGCATGAGCATAATATGTGTTCAGCCGTTTCGTCTTCCACACAACAGAACCGACAGTCCGTTTGTTGGTTCAGACCCATCCTTCCCAGGTGGTATCTTAGACGACAGTGTCCCGTAAGCAGTCCAGTCAGAATTCGCAGGTTACCCCTGCTCCATTCTAGGATCTGCCTGGTTATTTTTTCCGATGGTTTAGGCAGGAACACCTTCGAATGGGTTAATCCTGGTAATTCGGACCAGTACGTGAGTGTTTTTCCCTCCGCCCAGCCCGAGATAGTTGTTTTCGCCGCACTTGCGGTGACCCCAAAATATGGTTCTGGTCCTATGAACACAGATTCGGTTCCCTGTTTGGCGAGGATGTCGGCTTTCTCGTTACCCTCCACCCCCTGGTGTCCAGGCACCCACAGCAAAGTGACTCTGTTGTTAGCACCCAGGCTTTCTAGGGATTCAATGCAGCTCCATACAAGCTTGGAATTTGTCTTGCTGGAGCTCTTAGGCAGTACCTATTAATAAATGAATTTTGATTTTAGACTAAGCCTTATGGTTGAGAAATTGTGAAAAATTGTAAGGAGGTATATGAAGTAATGTGCTCATATGTCATGTGTGCTGTTTATATTCATGTTGGGAATCATTTTTGCAGTTTTTCACGAACACTTAATATTTTCTGAATGTAGGTATCATTTCTTAGATGGTAGGGCATAAGCCTCTTCTTTTAATCCTCCGTTTTAATCAAAACTGTTTCTACTAAAATGCATTGAAAAACTTGTGGAGTGGATAATTATAGGCACAATGAGAAAGTATAATATGTGATTTCGTATTAGTTTTCCCTTGAATATTTTGCTGATGTATTTACCAATTTTCCCCATTCGGTCACTTCACTTTCCATGTTCTAAGTTCATTTGCATTTGATGGAAAGCTGACAAATTCAAATTTACCATCCAACTGATTGATACAGCCTAACGCAGCACATTTTACCATCCTTCCAAAACATAATTGAATAATGTCGTATTGAGATCGAGTATGAAATAGAAATTTTGTAAGATCTCTTTCAAGGCATATGAATGTGACGTGACAGCAATGTCATTTCAGGGGCGCCAATACATGAAACCAAAGTCACTAGATGATTGAAAGAGAAGGAAGCTATGATCTGTCCATACCCAGTTACATGACAAATACGTCAGTTTGCATCAAGGGACCCTAGTAAAAACTAAACAGAACAATTTGATCGTACATTGATCATCAAATAGTGGATAGACAATAATCAACGGTCAATTCCATTGTTTTCACTGCGAAAATACATTAAAAAACCTCTCGTACATCATAAAACCTCTTAGTCCCGGATCTCCTTCAAAGCCCGCTCCAAAAACTGCGCCATCACCGGATACACCGGATCGTAGCTGGCCGAGTTCTTCTGCCTCACGAGGCCCTCGTAGCGCTGCAGGGCCCCCGCCACCAGGTCCAGTCGGTCCGCCTCGCTGGGGTGCTCGTCCAGCCACGCGGACACCTTGGGCAGGCTCCAGCCGGTGTTGTGGTGCGGGCTGCCCAGCTCGGGGCCCGCGTGGGCGAACAACAACAGCAGCGCGGTGCTGTAACGGAATAGAATTTATTTATTTTTTATGTCGATATATACATATTTTTACTGAATGAGACTGAAAAGGCGCATTGTTGAAACAAACCCGAATCTAGTAGTTACCTGTAGGGCACCGAGCCGCCCGAGGTTTGCCCGCCTACGACCTCCTCGGGCGGCAACACCACCAGCGACGCCATGGATTTGAGCAGGCGATAGGGGCGGCCGAGGTCGGGCAGGTGCGGGCAGACTGCCCTGAGGGCGGCCTCGAGGTGCTGGTAGTCGGCCTGGAGGCGCAGGCGGCCGCCCGAGGAGAGGGGGCGCAGCAGCGCGGTGTGCCGAACGAAGAGGTCGATGGTTCGGACGGCTATTTCGCTGCATCTGCATGAAAATTTGGTCAAATTGATCGTCGTGTAATTTTGGATAATCCTATCCGGTTTTGGTTAAATTTTGACCAAATCATATATACGTGATTCGAAATGTTAGCCTGAATCTTGGTTTCCGAGAAAAGCAGTAGTCTCTTCTGTTCTCTCCTCGGAAGAAGGTTAATTTAGGCAGAAAAATAGTCTCCTTTCTTATGCATATACAAAAAGGATATTTTCCTTCTTCAACCCTCCAGCAAACAGAGTACCGGCTGAAAATGAAAGTTACGCTGTTACGCCGTTTGTTGACAATGTGTGAAATGACTAGGCATTTCAGGGAATGATGGATTTCACTAATTGATGCCAAAATATATAAAGAACCTATAAAGCATCTTTGAAAAGAACTACAGGGGTGCATTTGTCTTTGTCTGACCTTGCCAGATACCCTTCAAGAGCTATGATTCGCCCTTCAAGAAGAATTTGAGGCAATTCCCCTAGACTACATCTAGGAGGTCTGTTTTTAGTTTGTTTTTTGTAATTGAAGGTTTGTTGCTGGTGAGTGTTGGGAATACGGGGTGGAAATAAGTGATATTAATTAATAATTCCTAAGAAGAAGGTTAATTTAGGCAGAAAAATAGTCTCCCTTCTTATGCATTTACAAAAAGGATATTTTCCTTCTTCAACCCTCCAGCAAACAGTACCGGCTGAAAATGGAAATTACCCTGTTACGCCGTTTGTTGACAATATGTGAAATGACTAGGCATTTCAGGGAATGATGGATTTCACTAATTGATGCCAAAATATATGAAGAACCTATAAAGCATCTTTGAAAAGAACTCCAGGGGTGCATTTGTCTTTGTCTGACCTTGCCAGAGACCCTTCAAGAGCTATGATTCACCCTTCAAGAAGAATTTGAGGCAATTCCCCTAGACTACATCTAGGAGATCTGTTTTTAGTTTGTTTCTTGTAATTGAAGGTTTGTTGCTGGTGAGTGTTGGGAATACGGGGTGGAAATAAGTGATATTAATTAAGAATTCCTAAGAAGGTTAATTTAGGCAGAAAAATAGTCTCCCTTCTTATGCATTTACAAAAAGGATATTTTCCTTCTTCAACCCTCCAGCAAACAGAGTACCGGCTGAAAATGGAAATTACCCTGTTACGCCGTTTGTTGACAATATGTGAAATGGCTAGGCATTTCAGGGAATGATGGATTTCACTAATTGACGCCAAAATATATAAAGAACCTATAAAGCATCTTTGAAAAGAACTCCAGGGGTGCATTTGTCTTTGTCTGACCTTGCCAGAGACCCTTCAAGAGCTATGATTCGCCCTTCAAGAAGAATTTGAAGCAATTCCCCTAGACTACATCTAGGAGATCTGTTTTTAGTTTGTTTCTTGTAATTGAAGGTTTGTTGCTGGTGAGTGTTGGGAATACGGGGTGGAAATAAGTGATATTAATTAATAATTCCTAAGAAGAAGGTTAATTTAGGCAGAAAAATAGTCTCCCTTCTTATGCATTTACAAAAAGGATACTTTCCTTCTTCAACCCTCCAGCAAACAGAGTACCGGCTGAAAATGGAAATTACCCTGTTACGCCGTTTGTTGACAATATGTGAAATGGCTAGGCATTTCAGGGAATGATGGATTTCACTAATTGACGCCAAAATATATAAAGAACCTATAAAGCATCTTTGAAAAGAACTCCAGGGGTGCATTTGTCTTTGTCTGACCTTGCCAGAGACCCTTCAAGAGCTATGATTCGCCCTTCAAGAAGAATTTGAAGCAATTCCCCTAGACTACATCTAGGAGATCTGTTTTTAGTTTGTTTCTTGTAATTGAAGGTTTGTTGCTGGTGAGTGTTGGGAATACGGGGTGGAAATAAGTGATATTAATTAATAATTCCTAAGAAGAAGGTTAATTTAGGCAGAAAAATAGTCTCCCTTCTTATGCATTTACAAAAAGGATACTTTCCTTCTTCAACCCTCCAGCAAACAGAGTACCGGCTGAAAATGGAAATTACCCTGTTACGCCGTTTGTTGACAATATGTGAAATGGCTAGGCATTTCAGGGAATGATGGATTTCACTAATTGATGCCAAAATATATAAAGAACCTATAAATCATCTTTGAAAAGAACTCCAGGGGTGCATTTGTCTTTGTCTGACCTTGCCAGATACCCTTCAAGAGCTATGATTCGCCCTTCAAGAAGAATTCGAGGCAATTCCCCTAGACTACATCTAGGAGGTCTGTTTTTAGTTTGTTTTTTGTAATTGAAGGTTTGTTGCTGGTGAGTGTTGGGAATACGGGGTGGAAATAAGTGATATTAATTAAGAATTCCTAAGAAGAAGGTTAATTTAGGCAGAAAAATAGTCTCCCTTCTTATGCATTTACAAAAAGGATATTTTCCTTCTTCAACCCTCCAGCAAACAGAGTACCGGCTGAAAATGGAAATTACCCTGTTACGCCGTTTGTTGACAATATGTGAAATGGCTAGGCATTTCAGGGAATGATGGATTTCACTAATTGACGCCAAAATATATAAAGAACCTATAAAGCATCTTTGAAAAGAACTCCAGGGGTGCATTTGTCTTTGTCTGACCTTGCCAGAGACCCTTCAAGAGCTATGATTCGCCCTTCAAGAAGACATCTAGGAGGTCTGTTTTTAGTTTGTTTTTTGTAATTGAAGGTTTGTTGCTGGTGAGTGTTGGGAATACGGGGTGGAAATGAGTGATATTAATTTTGAGATGTTTTTCTCAAGTTGTTAATCAACAAGTTCATGTAAGTTCTGAATTATTCTTTCTCCTTGTATAATGATGAGGCATTCAGCTTTTCTGAGGAACAAAAATTCAAGCTAACATTCTGAAACATCTATGATTCTATGATCAGACAAAAAATAAAAAAGTTGCTGGGCGATCAGCTGGACAACATTTTTTCTGTCCAGATTTTTTTTTGGCCTTAACATGCATTTCTTCAAATTATTGACAGCTTAACTTACTTTGTGGTCAACACTTCAGTATTTTTGAAGTCGGCCAAGTAAATCTGATAAACCCTGGTTATGAATTGAGTCAGCTCTCTCATATAGGGGGAACAAGAATGATAAGTCTTGTTAGGGAGCTGTATTTTAGCCCAGTCAGTTTCCAAATGCATAGTTATGATAATTGTATCAATGACAGAATTGACAGAAGCTGCAAAAACAAACAATGATTGATAGATGAGACAATTAAAAAATAATTATTCACCAATTAGGGGCTGTAAAATCGCACCAACAAGGTTATCAAGACTTTGTATACTTTCTTCAATGATTTTGACACATGATTCTGGTAAACTCTCCTTCATATTGGACAGCATTCTTTGTATCTGAGTTTTCAGATAGAACAAGTCATTAGAAAGGTTTAAATTCTTCTGTTGGCCAGTATTGGCTGTCCCAGCTAAACAAATTTCAAAATTGGATCTCTCAAAAAGTATACATGGAGATTGCCTCACCAATAACTTGAGCTGCATCTGGACCAGTTTCTAGTTGTTGCTCAGTTTTGACAGCATACATTTTTATGCACTTTGCTACATTCTTGGATATCTGCTCACTCAGATTTTCTTCAATTAGAGCTACACTCAGCTCACTTGAAATTAAAATATATCGGTCAAATCATTTGCCTGACTAGAAGATAACTTGTCAGTATTTTATTCTAGTACCTTGTGATAACTCTAATCAAAGAATCAATTTGATCATGTGTAGGTAGGTTAGTTTCACTACTAAACATAGCTTGTGTAGGATCTAACATTCTTGTTAGAGATGTGGATAAGTATGAGTTTTCAAGTTTCCTTAAAACATTATGCCTAAAAAATTGCTAAAAGTTTGTCATGCTCAAATCAAATAAAGACATTTTTTTACTCAAATGGAAATGGATCATATTTAGTTTTCTTGGTCAATTCAAAGTAACATTTCAGAAGCTTTGGATAATCTTCCTCCAACATTTGTTGAATAGCTGAGGAAGATTTTTTTATTTCTTCTTGCAATATTTTTCCCAAGCTACCCCAAAAATCTGTGGCAATGTTAAAATTGCTATTTGGTAAATGTAAGTTGTTCAAAGTTGTTTGTAAAAATTTCACCTAAAAAAAATTATAAACAAACAAAAATTTAACAGTTATACATGAGAAATGCAACAAAATCACACCTGTTGACACATTTGATAGATGTCCTCAGAAAAAACCTTTCTTAGTTCTGCCCATGCTTTAGTTCTGAAATTTGGCATTGACATCAGACTGATGTGTCCAGGCCCACCTTTAGATTTCATAGTATTCACTGAACTAACAGCAAAAGCACTCTTCAAACTTTCCCTACATTCATATAGATTATGTTCCACTATGCTTTCCACCACTGATTTAACTGTACCAAGGTTTATGAATATCTAAAAATGAGTAGGTAGTTGGAGAATGGTTCATTCACACAAATAGCAATGAAACCTGTAGAGCTGTTGTAGTCTGAGTGATATTTTCATTGATGATTCCCTGATTCAATGAACCTGTAGCAAGTTGTACAACTTTTTGCTGGTGACTACGAATATTTCTAAGTTCAGAAGTTACTGCATCAATATCTGTCAACTCAGGATCAGATGCAAGCTGCTCTGAAATAGAGAAAGATAGGTAGTTTTACTTTGAAAATGAAGTTGATACAATCTCACCTAATTCATGTAATAATGTTGCTTTCTGAACAGGGTCATTGGTATTTGATAATCTTTTACTCAGCTGTTGAAGACGATTCACTTGCCTCAGGATATGACTAGCTAAATGTAGATGCCCTAATACTTTGGTGTGTTTTTCAAGTTCATTATAAGGACTGTGAATCTGGAAACAATACAGTATATCTTTGTGTACTTGAAATCAAAATAAAATTTTACCTGCATTCTCAAACGTTCAGCATTTGCAAACAAGTTTTTAACATGTGTGTTCATTGTTTCTAGGACTCCTTCAAGTTTGGAAGCATGGTTTGCTTGTTGTAGTAAATCTTCATGCTTTTCTAATACTTGCTTCTCTAACTGCAGACTCAACAATTCTATGCCATCAGATAGCTTTTTGACTTGTTCTCTGAGAGTTAATGAATTGGTCAGGACATTTTTAGAATGGGGATCCAAATATTTCCCATAGAATTCTGAAAACAAGAATACATAGAGATAGGGGCCACAAATTCATTAACTAGTACTAACCGTCACGTTCTAATTTTTCCACAACATTTTCTTGGTAATTCTCCATTAGATCTTCATTAAATACTAATCAATTACTAATATCAATTTATTGTATTTTTTGTAAATAGGGTTAACATTTTCTGTAGACGTCAAACACAAAAACAAACAAAGCTGAAGTGTGTTAACTCTTCTTATTCTTTTTCTTCTTCTGGCCTCTTAGCAGCAAGTCCGCATAAGAAAAGTAGTTCAAATCTATAATAGTACAAGAAACTAGTTTTTTATCTGTTGGCAATAGCTGACATATGACTTATTATGTCATTTTGTTTTTGTTAAATCTCCTCTCTTTGTCTTTTCCAGTTTCCTATTTCTTGATCTCTGTTATTTTTCATGGGGGTGTTCCTTGGGTGGTTTCATTAGAAATGATGAGAATTACAGAATCAAAGTAATTATAGCCTAATAAGAAATAAAAAATGAAGTGCGGTACAATTTCAAGTGATTAGCCGATTTCCATTCTCTTTGTGTATACTCAAGTTTTCTCCAGTGAATGAAAATGGAACACAATATACCAAAGTCCAATCAGTCCTACATGCAAAAAATGCAGTACATGTCGCTAAATGATCAACCTACAAGATATTCAGCTCAGATGAACTTGGCAAAAGCTGAACCCCAGCAAAACAATGATTACAGGTTATATGAACGGAATAATATCATTGCCAGCTCAAGATATGCCACTCCAAAACAAGTAGAAACTTTGGGACCTCAAAGGGGATATGAAGAAAATGATGTTTATGTCCAGTGTGCAAAACCTCAGGTCCCTTCTAGTCCCACCCATTCCTTGAGTGGTTCTTCAGTTCATTCCATGAGTCCTAGAGCCAGTATGGCCAGCAATTCCAATGCTGTCTATGAGAATATTGATTATTCTAAGACACCTTATTACTCTGGGCTTCATGATCATTCCAGTGTATATAGAAAAGCCCAGCCACAAGTTCCAGTTGGAAATAGAACTGGCACAAATATGGAAGTACCACCTGTATATGAGAATATACAGCACTTATCTCATAACATGCCTGGCCCCCAGGTGCCCCCAAACGCACCTCCACCTTATAGCAATTCCCTCCCAAGGAGTCAATATGCCCAACAGGTATATTCCAGTAAGGCAGCCCAGCCTCAGTCACCCTACAACTATAACAAGTCACCTTCAAAAAGCTACACACAACAGCAGCTTGATGAGATTAACAGCAGTGACTATGTTTGTATGACAGGAAATGTATCCCACACTACTCTCAGCACAAATATCCCTTTCCACACAACATCTGCCAAGGACTATGACAGATCCATTTTGACTGGCATTGCTCAGACTCCCATAAAGTTGCCAGCTAATGAGTTCAAGATGGGCCTGTCTGTGCCCCAGAAAGAAAAAAGGCCTTCACCGGCTCCCAGCCCAACACCCAGCAACTTCAGTACTGGCAGCATGAAGATGAAAATGACAGGGAAGAATTTGTTGCCTTACAGTGTGACCCCTCCCAAGCCCAGAGGACCCACAGCAGCTGAAAAGAAAATTGAGGAGATGACAAGGCAGATTGAGGAAGAGATGGAAAAACATGAGGAAGAGGGGGAGTATTTTGGTAATATTGTTTTCAAATTACTACTAGGGAATTTTGCAAACATTCTGTATGTCTTTTAGGTATTTGTCATACTTGTGGGGATAAAGTGACAGGGGCAGGGCAAGCTTGTCAGGCAATGGGCAATCTCTACCATACCAATTGCTTTATTTGTTGTTCTTGTGGCAGGGCATTGAGAGGAAAGGCTTTTTACAATGTTCATGGAAGGGTCTACTGTGAAGAAGACTACCTAGTAAGCCCCACACCAAATGTATTATTGAGTTTTTGTTTATTATTTTATAGATTAATATACAATTAGGTTATTTTACTAATATGTCCTCTACTCTTTCAATATGGTACAGGAAATCTACAAAGGAATCAATATAATACATTTAGATATTTGGTATAATTCAGGATTTTTTTTCACTTAGGTACCTAGTGAAAGGGTTTAGGACTTTAAATGAATTGTTACCATTTGGGGCAATGGTTTTCACTGTGAACATGTTTGCAATATTAGATAGACAAAGAAAATGATCAATGATCCTGATTATCATATACTTCAGCTTGAGTACTTATTCAGTATACTGGTAAAACCCATGTATTTGAAGATGATAATCATTTTCCAAGACTTTTATCAAATAGTATAATGTTTATGATAAATATTCAAATTGAACAACAAAACAAACAACTTTGAGATTCTTAGAAAGCTCCAAAAGTAATATAAAATTATTATTCAATAATTTCTTCAAATAAAAAATATGATTTTTAGTGTTAATATTTGATTTGTAAGCAAAAATTTGGCATTATTTATAGTGTTTAGTATAAATTTCATTTTCTTTCAATTTCAGTACTCTGGTTTTCAACAGACAGCTGAAAAATGTGCCATTTGTGGTCATCTCATTATGGAAATGGTAAAACTACAAAACAAATCCTCAAAATTATTTCTAAATCATTTTCCCCAACAGATTCTTCAAGCCATGGGTAAATCCTACCACCCTGGGTGTTTCAGATGTTGTGTATGCAATGAATGTCTGGATGGAGTTCCTTTCACAGTAGATGTTGATAATAAAATTTACTGTGTTAATGATTACCACAGGATGTTTGCCCCAAAATGTGCAGCATGTGGAAAAGGTAAGCATAAGATTTCTCATCAGCTATGTATAGGCAGTATTTTATTGAGTTTGAGGGAAGAATGGGTATAAGTTTTCAAAAATGGAGATGTGTTTTTCAATGATATAAGTTGACTTGACTCACCAGTTTAGAAGAGTCAAAATTTGGGTTTGTGACCCAAATTCCAAAACCCTTTGCCGTTTATGGTTTTTGAATTTTATTTTGTTTCAATCATATAGAGAATTATTGAATTTAGGATACAATTTTATGTAATTTTCAAACATAGCATTTGGCAGCACACTCCATTGGCCTGTACAGACGTCATAAACCCTCTTCCTATGTTGCCAGCCATTATATTTTAAATTCAAATAAAGTACCTAAATATTTCCTGTTTTTCAAATGGATCCAACAGTTCAACTGACTAGATGATTGTATATTCAGGAATGTGGTAAATATTACCTCTATTGTCAATGTCACAACTTCATGTCTGACATGAGTTCTGATCAAGTACAAAAATTAAAACCAAAAATTCATGTGAACTTTAAAACCCCCAATAATGAAAACGGGTTTCTCCTGGAGAAAATAAAAAAATAATATTTTAATTTTCCCTATTGATTTTCAAAGTTAGACGAGTTAAACCTGAGACACCTTGTATATTTAGATTGTGTATATATGTATATAAAACTATTCATTAGCAAATTTACTCATTGGTGAATCTCTTATAAATGTGGTTGAATGATTAATAGTGCACACACAAGCTTTTGAAGCTCATTTTGTACCTAAAAATGTAAATGTGAACTGTATGACCCATCTTTCATGGCTATAATAATAATAGATACTCAAGAAAAGCAGTTCTGCTAGCTTTGAGATAGAAAAAAATTCTTCCCCATCTATCCTTGTCTTCAGTGTTCCAACAGAAAATAATGGAAATTTTATGTTGGTACCATTGGAAATGGGAAAAAATGAAGAAGAAGATCATACTAACCTCAGTTGCAACTTTTTTTTTCCAAAACATTCCCTAATTTACAGTTGCAACTGTATATAAGAGTTGCAAAGGAAAACAGTTTTTTCTATGACAGGAAAAAAGTTTTTTCTATGACGGGAAAAAAGTTTGGCATTCCATCTCTGTTGGCAGGTTAGAAAATGTCACTTTTCATAAATTACTTTTTTCCCTTGGGAAAAAAGTGAGTACTTTTTTCCCGGATATATATCACATATATATACAATGTTGATGGCTTTTGTTGTGCTATAGTTCCGAAAAATGATGGAGTCAATAATACCGTCTACCGTCTCCGAGAAAGAACTGCAAGTCCTTTTATCTTCCATTCGGCTTCGCGGTTGCGTATATTACTAAACAACCACTAAATTCGCAATTTTTTAAAATCAAATCGCAGAATTAGACTGACAGAAGTGACATCAGATATTTGATAACTTCAAAAGAATGATAAAGATGCCTACAACACAGTCTCTACTGTTAAAAACTTAAAATTTCACGTCGATAATTTTCAAATTTCAAAATAATGTAATATCTTCTCAATATTGATTCGCCCTTTCTTCTGTCACAGAAAAAAATAGTGTATTATACACGGGAAAAATATTAGATTTTGGCTCACGGTTTTTTGTCTCCTTCCCCTACGCGTCGGGACACAACACAACCTGGAGCTAAAATCTACTACTTTTTTCCCTTGTATAATAAATAACTATTATTATTTATTAGTTAGGTTAGGTTTCACATGCTCATGTATGCTCTTTGGAGTTATTATCAATACAATATTAATACTATTTTTATTACAATTATTAATATTACACTATATTGTAAGTAGTTCTATAATTCAAATATTTTATTTTGTTAATTCTGAAACAAGTGTTTTCACACTTATCGGTTTTTGCTGCTTTGTTCACAATGTTTTCGTATAGGAATCACCCCCGTGGAAGGCACGGAAGAGACGGTCCGCGTGGTATCCATGGACAAGGACTTCCACGTGGACTGCTACATCTGCGAGGAGTGCGGAATGCAGCTGACAGACGAACCGGACAAGCGCTGCTACCCGCTGGACGGCAGGCTGATGTGCCGCGACTGCCACATCCGGACGCTGAGGCACATGCCGACGCACATGGTCCCCGCCTCCTATCAGTACACGGGCTGAAACTGCCCGAAAGTCGGGTAGGGTGGGCGGTTGGGCAGTTGAAGTTCGGTGAGGTTAGGGTCCCTTGGTGGAAATTGACGTTAATCTTAACAGGGTACGGACATATCCTCGTCTCCTCTCACTCTGAAGAGTTTGTGAAACAGTTATATAGTTCCATCTTTATTCATTTCTAGGGATCAACACTAGATTTCTGACATTTGTTGTTTTTTAGGTTATATTGAGGTCATTGGCGTATCATACGTAATTTCTATATGGAATTCCAGATTCAACTATACCAAGATATAGATGAACAATCCTCTAGTTTTAGAATTTACTACTCCAGCATAATCTTTGCGAGGTAGGGCACATATAAATTGTACTGAAAGCTTAATATATTTCAAAAGATACTGTTCTTAGACTGAAGACTAGGGTTGACTGAATTGACTGAATGAATTCTGATTTCAAGCTGAGAAGTACTTTATCTATGAGCTGAGCCTCATGATGAGAAATGGCGAAAACCTCGATGTGGGTATCTGAACTACTGTACTTTTGTCATCTGTGCTAAATATATTCTCGGATATCCAACTCCGAGAAGAATTTATTGAGTGACTAATATCACGCTATGTATAAAACTTCGTCTAGGACGAAAAGTAGACTGATAAAAAGTAATACGTAAAATGTGCAGGAAAATAAAGAATAGAATAACTTTACCCCCATGTTATACATATGATTTTTCCGTCTCCCTTGAATAAAAAGTAATGTTCAAATAATTTATGGATGAAAGTAACGAAGAAGTAGGTATACAGTATAACTTTTAGAGGCACCTTATTTTCACTCTTGCATCCTCTACATATTTCCAATTTGTGGTAGAGTAATAATTATATAAAACCCCAGATACCTCATTCCAATTTTGAATAGAATCGGATCATAATTACAAAACTCGTTCGCCATATGATCTTTCCCATCAAGTAAATACCCTGTATATACCTATTATTAAAAGTTTCAATGATTTTCTGTAGCGCCCATGGATGTGACGTGACAGCAATGTCAGGGATGCCAGTAGACAAAACTAAAGTCTCTAGAATAAAATAAAAGAATGCAGCTATGATCTGTCCCTACCCTGTTAAGATGACTTAAACGTCAATTTCCATCAAGGGACCCTAGGTGGGGTGTTTGGTGTTGCATATCGCTGCATATTGACCGTATTTCACTTGGAAAGGATTAGGCATTTTCTGCTGTTTGTTGGTAACACTTGCTGTCAAATTGGGTGTCATTTGTCGAATGCATTGTGGTTTGTCAATGCCTTTCAAGTTTATGCTTCCTGTTGAACCGTCGAAACTCAAGGATTTTCTTGTGTGAGTTATGGCGTCACCAAGTAATAGGGTTCATTCTGGTTCAAAAATTTCAAAATGGATTGTTTGAACTATGAAGAGAGTGAGAGAACGTCGAAGTTTGAGGTTATGAATGTTTTTTAGTTTTGTTTTGGCTGAATATGTTGTCACTTCAATAGGCCTTTTCATTCAGATGACAAATGACTATCTCTGTTTAAATCTCGCATCCAATGACAGTGGCGGCCATTTTCACCGAAACACCTACACCACGACAGTACCACACTCCTCAGTAAGGAATAAGTAAGTTTCTTTTTGGAATTAAATTATTATAATACAATTAATACACACCAGGAATATAAAAACCTAAATTCTATGTTGTTATTGTTGTTTCTCAATGACGAATGCCCATGGTGGTTGACATTTGACAGAACGTCAATAATACCCACTATATTCGAAATGGCCAATCAGTATTTTGTGTTGGAACTATAGCCAATGAGACTGCACCTTCGCATTATCCAATAAATTTTTGGATTGAAAAACGAGCGCATGCGTCTTGAAAATATATCTAAATGAAAAGGCCTATTGGCACTTGAAAAAATAATAATGGTGAGGAAGGTATGGTGAATATTGAACTTGATGATTTGGAGTTATTTGATCCTGGGTGTAGATAAGAATTTCCACAGATTTTGATTTATAGCGGTCTGTTTTCATGAATGATATAAATTACTACGTCATGCTTGAAAACGGTGCAAAATCAATCTTGAACACGGTCCAACAAGGAAAACCAACTATTACTTTGAAAAATGAACGGTCTAAGAAGTTATTCTTGCTTTTATTTTCAATAATTAACAACAGTTTTCCATCCAATATTATGATCTAATAAGTTTGACACCTTTGCAGCCAACTTTACAACACAAAATGTCTAAGCTTTGAAAGTATGGTCAATTGTCGCTCTAAATGAGTAAAAAAAAGAAGCAGGCAAGTAGTTGTAATATTGTCTGTGCATTGAACAAAAAACACCGAAAATCGCCCTTATTGTGACAGTTTTCTGTACAGTAGAGACATCTACTGGAAGACAGATGTGCCACGACTGCCACGTGCACATGCTCAGGCACATCCCTGAACAAATTCCAATTGGTCTGCTATCTGTTGACCCTAATTTTTACGCTTATTCTATACTGTACAATATTTTTATTAGCTCTCTAGAGGCTTCACAAACCCAAAAACACTGAAAGTGAGTTTTATGACATTCAGAATTTCATCAAACCTTTTTTGTTTTTAAAGAAAAAAACTCACAGGACTGCTCAATAATTCCATGATTTACAGAAATGGTACAATTCTCAAATTCAATTCAATATACAGGGTGGTTTCTAAAAGCACCGTATCTTATTTTCAAATGGCAAACATGATTTGAGATATATCCAAACTTCCATTCAGACAACATTTTGAAAACAATGTCAAATAAAATTGATTATCACTGATGTATCTTTCAGATCTGAAAGTTTATAAATCATATATCACAGTATTCAAACATAATTTCATTCCATAATATACCACAGTTTTGAAAGGTAGTTTTATTTCTAAATGCTGTAATCATTACATTGGTGATTTATGAATCCATACAATAAATCAAAATATTGGTGGTATTGGTCAAAACAGTCCAAAATTGGATTCAGTGAGAAATGATTCTCTTCAAAGACATTCCTTGTGGCAATGTTTATATAAATAGATGTTAGTTAGTAGTTGTGCTTTGTGGATATTCATTAGAATTGTTAAGTTTTGAATTAAGGCTATAAATAATCAGATTAAACCACATTATATAAGAATCATGTTTTTTCTTTTATCAGTATTCTCATCAAAATAGTCAAACAAGAATGAATAATTTACTAATATTTATTTCTGAAATCACTAATCCAAACTTGTGGTAAAAATTTCCAAGATCTATGTTTCAAACTAGGATGAAAAACATCATAATCCACTTGTTGCAACCTATCTAAGTAAATGGAAACTGGTACAGCAGGTAACAAAGCAGATTTTCCTTCTTTTGGCACTTTTTCTGAAAGACTTCTGGCTTTTACTAAATGCTGATGAGCCCTACTGGCAATTTCAAAAGTACATTCTGACAGACGTTCACTGGTTTTTCCTCTTATGACTTCTTCTTGGCTTACTTTATTCTTTACTAGAATCTCTTGAGGGATTGAGATAAAATTTAAATGTTTTGCATGAGGTATACTCCTAAAATAATTTATAGGTAATGTTTGACTCAAAAATATGTACATTGTTTTACCTCAACTGCTGAATTATGCCTTGTGCTTTACCTAGGTGAGAAGCTGCATGATCAGCTTCAATATTTTGAACACCAGATCCTTCCAAAACTAGATATAATACATTTGAAGTACTCTGTTCAGCATATTTTTCCATTTCATCCAAAGTGTTGAAGCTAGTCAGCTTAAGACTGTTCAGTCTTGATGAAATCAAGTTGATGAAGTATCTCTTTGATAATTTCTTCCTAATATTTGCCTGTTATAAAGAATACATGAAAAAACAGGATATTCTACTTACTAATACTAACTAGAAACTGTCAGTAACAACACATACTTTGTATATTTCTATTGCTACTGGATGATTAGGTACTGTATTGCCCTTGAGGCATTTGTCAATAGTTTCTTCCCAGAATTTTAGCCTCATTTGACCTGTGTTTGCTTGTGATACTTGTTCAGCAACTCTGGCAACTTCTACATTGAAACTTCTCACTGCAAAAGCACATGACCTGGCAGTATTTTTGAGCAAGAGAGTGCAGATATAATTCTCGTAATCATTTTTTCTGCAACAAAGGTGAGAAATGATTCGGTTGTTCATAGTTTTGTATTACCCACTTGACGGAACTTGCACAGTATTCTACAGAATCGCTAATTTTTCGCGATAATATTTTAGGTTTATTCTGTTTATTGATTATACTAGTTAGTTTTTTGAAGTTGTTATGCATAATAACTGTTGACATCCTCAATATCCTCGGAATATTCTCAAGAATCTAAATTCTAAAGTTGAAAGTTTTCCAAAAATATTCTTAAGAACCCTAACCAAATCTATTCTTCTTCTTACTTGTTCGTTATTACCACTATTACCAGACCTTGTTATTACACATTTACATATTAAACATTAATTTTCTACTGGAATCTTCGAGTTGAGAACGAATAAGAAGAAAAGATACTTAACCTAACCAAATGTAATATTATTCCAATTTCGAACCAGTTTCAAATGATCTTGAAGAACTTTCCAAAAATTATCAATTTCATAGGTACTGCCAGAGTATTCGACGTTTCAAAATGTACCAGACATACTCGTATGTTATCGAATGCTATCAGGAACCCGGTTCCGAAAGTGGTAGTTCAGCCACCTGTGTATATCAAAACAGACCACCATTACAAAATCTGTAAACAAGATACTATACGGAAGTTGCAAGCACTGTTCGGACTTCGAATATATGAAGCAACGGAAATGTTTATGAAATTCAAGAAATTTTCAACAATACCAACATACAGAGTGGGCGAAAATTATTTTTTCTGTGTCAGTCAGGGCATGAGCAAGACAACTTTGAGGCAATATCCTGAGATATTAGCAGAGTCTGATGTCCAATGGAAAATTGAAAAATTAAAAATATTGAGAGAAGATATCAATGTTTTAGCCCCTTTAATTCTACTGAGCCAACCTGCAATAACTAATTTTCTAAGAATGGAAATTAAGGAAAAGAGAATTGAAAAACTAGCCAAGATGTTTGAGGTGAAATCCATATAATCATAGAATATTTTCTCTTAATTTTTCTGACTTCTAGGTAGAAGAAGATAGAATGTGTCAATTAATGGTACAGAAACCATTTTTAATTACTCTGAATCTTGATTTTTTACAAACAAATTTGCGACTTTTAACAGGTACTGTATCACTTGTCAAGTTTTCTGAAAAACAAATTTAATTCACTGTATTTTCAGCATATGGTATACCAAAAGCTGACATTGTTAGAGATCTTTGGGTACTAAGGTATAGCTCAGCATCAATATCAGAAAGAATGGAGTTGGCAAGAAAGAACAAGATTGAGAAGATGAAAACCTGGATGGTCAGAGCACAGCAAGAAATATTAGACAAGTAAGACATGTACTTTAATTTCCTGATCTAGCTTTGTGTTCAATTCAAGATAAATTTGATGATTCCAGAAGTCAATGCTAGAAGGAAATTAGCTTCAATTCTTACTAAATGTTTATTGTTTCAGTTACATGAAAAGAAGATCAGACAACAAATCAATACTGGGCAATAACTCTCTGGTAGAATACTTATCAGAAAGATTGGATACTACAGAAGATGTGGCTAGGTTCATCATTTCCAAACAGCCTGCTTTGCAGAAGAAAAGTTTGAAGAAAATGAATGAGATGATTGAATTCCTTCTCATCAATGGTTTCAAGACAATCCACATTTGTAGGACCCCAAAAATTCTATTGCACAAAGTGGATACAGTTAAGAAGAGACTGAAAGAGATGAAGGATAATGATATGCAGCTTGATGCCTTATCTGTTTTAACTAAGAGTCAGAAACAGTATGCACAAGCATTGGAATTACTCAAAGCAAATAAAAGTAAAATAAAGTATGGAGTGCCTTTTTACTTTTTAATATACATTGGAACCAATGTATGGCAAAAATTGTGTTTTTGCAATAGTTTGCTGCAGGAATTGACATTTTTACAATACTTGAAGAGCAATGTATCGTAAAAACTGTTATTTTTGCTACACATTGCCGCAATGTGTTGCAAAAATGAACCGTTTTTACAATACACTAACTTGCAATGTATGGTAAAAACGATGGTGAGATACACTATGAGGAATGTACTGTAAAAATATAGTTTTTCTACTCACATAACTAAAATGGCATTTATCGTACGAATATGTACCACGCTAAATGATCGATTAATCACGAATTGCCGATCTGTGATTTATTCAAAATATTAAACACATTACCATGGCAACACGATTTCTTAAACACATCACCATGGCAACGCAGTTCATTAAACACAATAGCGGATACACAGAAACCATCTGCGAATCGTCCCGAATGCGCGCGCATATATCAATACAGATCTGCAGGTCCCAGGTTCGATTCGCTATGAACTTATCTTTTTTTAAAAACTTTTTTTCACCAATGTATCTCTACTTTACGAAAGCTCTGAAGGGCCATGGTGAGATATTTTTTAAAAAAATATCTCCCACATTTTTATGTCCCTTCGGGGCTGCTAAAGTGAAATGTGAAATAATTTAAAAAAAATATCTCCTATGTCCCTTCAGAGCCGCTTATAAAAATCATAGAGATATTTTTTCCGGCTGCTGTGTTGCCAAGTATATTTTATTGTTCGTGCAGTCAAGAATAGTGACTGCGTTTGCGCCAGATCATGTGATCAAGATGTGACCAATAAGGACAAGGGCTGTGGATTTGTGATTTTAACAATCCCACTTTCATAGAGATAGAGAAAAGGAACCCTCCCCTCTTTGGTGTGTACTGTGTGGTGTGTAAAATGACCATAGATGAAAGATGAAATGAAATACCTTATTTCTACATATTAGGTTGTCATGTTCTGAAGTTCTGAACTTTCGACAACGTTACTCAATTTTGCATGATATCTTTTATAAATTGATATCATGGTAGAAGTGAAGCAGTTAATCAAACGATACTTTCAGGTAGGATTCAATCTTTCCGAAATAAAAGCATTTTTGATGTTACGACATGACATTCTGATCAGTGAAAGGCAGTTGAAAAGGTACTTGAAACAACTTAATTTGTATCGAAGGAAAAATTACACAGACCTAACAATTATATCAGACTTCATTGACCAACAAATACTTGGTTCAGGTAGTCTGCATGGATATCAATGGATGCACCTGAAATGTTTACAAAATGGTTTGGTAGTCAAAATGAACACTGTGAGGCGTCTCTTGAAGGAAAAAACCCAGGAGTTGAACTGCGTTCGAGAAATAGGCTGAGACAGCCATCTTAGCTGAGACGAAGGGCATATAATGAAGGACCAAATTATATGTGGCATGTTGATTCTTATTATGACAAATTAAAACCATATGACGAATTATGTGGTTGAGGGCTGCTAAGATTAACAATAATCCTCGTATAATTGCTGGTTAATCCGTGTATTCGAATTCCGTTCTCTACTTATTTTATTAATGTTTTTGTTTCCTTTCCCCCCTGAAAAATTTACTGCATTTTGCTGCCGTGTGAAAAATTTTTTCTACAGCTGTAACACAAAATTGCTCTTGTTTTACTGTGTTCGATAAATAAATAAGGTACTTTGTATGTCATCAATTTTATTTCCGTATCTGATATCACAATGACTCTATTGTGTATTGTGTTATTGTTATTATTTCAAAACAATCTCATCTTCCATGAAATGTCAAATAACAAGCAATGACAGCATTGACAGGCGACAGCTCTGTCTAATAGATGAGCATTTTTTAAGGAAAAATCAGATGGCTACAAGCCGAAGAAATACAAAATTTCGCTGTTATCTGTCACAACCTTAGAAAAAGTATAGTGTATAACTCGCCACGGAATGTTGATTTATCACTCGAATGGTTGCAGCATTCGCCAACATTCCGTGCTCGTTGAACAATATACTATTTTTCTACGGCTATAACACAAAGTTGCTATTGTTTTACTGTGTTCGACAAATCAGTGAGGTACTTTGTATGTCATCAATTTCATTTCCATATCTGATATCACAATGACCCCATTGTGTTATTATTTCAAAAAAATCTCATCTTTCATGAAAAGTCAGATTACAAGCAATGACAGTTTTGACAGCTCTGTCTAATAGATGAGCATTACTTAAAGAAAAATCCGATGCCTACAAGTCGAAGAAATACAAAATTTTGCTGTTATCTGTTACAGCCTTAGAAAAAGTATAGTTTATAACTCGCACGGAATGCTAATTTCCCACTCGAATGGTTGCAGCATTCACCTATGGCTCATGCTTCATTCTCGTGGGAATTGACGATCATTCCGTGCTCGTTTAACAATATACTATTTTCTCCAAATTTTACAAAACCAATATTGTGTAATTATTTTTATTGAAAACTACATCATTTTGTGTTCACATAGTGTCAATGTCAATTTTGATTACCAATTGGCACGTATTCAAAACGCCCCGATAACAGGCATAGGCAAGCTTTTAGACCAATCAGGTTGATTTTGACTTCGGCGGTAAATTCGAATCGCATATCTTATAACAATGATGATTATGAGAAAATGTACTATATGTTATATGATGATGTCGTATAGGCAATATATATTAGAGGTATACTCATCATATTAGATAGTGTTCATCTAAAAATTTGATTTGTCCACTTTCAGTCTTGGTGTTTTGATTAAATTGTTCTATTTCTGAATGAAGTTCATGGGATGTTTCTAATAGTCCATATCGATCTATAAACATTTTCATGTATAAATGATGGAAGAATATTATGTCGGAACAAATAATATAGTAGATTGTGGGTTCTCTCTGTAGGTATGATAACTACAAGATCACCTTATACGAATATGTTAATCAATGTTGTATCTTCCTATTGCATTACCGTTATAATGTGTGCTTGACACCAGGGTGCTTTCGTAGATATCCGATACGGAAATAAAAATGGCACCCATACAAAGTATACCTAACTGATTTATTGAACACAGTAAAACAAGAGTAATTTTGTGTTTTAGCCGTATACAAATGTGTATTGTACATGTGTTGATCATTGATGTTTTTTTTTTCAGGAAATTTCCAGAAAACGTGTTCCGCATTATTTGTTGCGTCTTGTCTCTTTGTGTCCTGTCTCTAGATACGACAGTTCGGGACAGAGATTAGCCAGCCACCCACCAGAACGGCTAATCTCTGGTTCGGGGCGTTTTGAATTCATGCGAACCAAGTTCGCTGAATGCTGAATGGTCACTAATTTTGTTACTCAAAACCAGAGATTAGCCCAAAGGCAGAGGCTAGAGACACGTTGATGTGCCTGTAATTCAATAAGGAGTTAAAGCAATGCAGAATGCGTAAGCGTAAACGTAGAATTTGACATCTAAGCATGCGCAGTGTGCGAATTTCCTACGCCAGGAGATACGTCCGACGCTTGCGTCCGACGTATGTTTACGTATTGCTACGCTGGCGCTGAACGCAAGTCGTATTGAACCACCGAAGGCGTTACCTATCTAAGCGAATACAAACAATAACTATTCGGTTTTTACTTTAACCTCACTTCTATCACATGAAATCATATTTATTTTTTATTGCGCTTCGTTCTTGTGTTGTGCTTCGAAGGAATCATGGACAATTCAAATGAAAGAATTCTCTTTTCTTTGGAAGATGATTCGCATCTAGCAAGGGAAGTTGTTGGCCATAATCCCTACGAAGACACGGGCCGTTGGAACCTCATCCAAATGAATATAATGTAAACTACTGGAAAACTTATAGCTTCCTGGTATTCCTAGGAATCCTAGGGCTCTAGCTAATCTTGGAGTGTCATTTTTCGCAAATCGAAATAGATTTTTACATTCTATTTCAAATAAATTGTTTCAATTGATATCTCTATATAATTCCCTTCGATGACCTAAATTGTCTACTAGCATCGCTATCATTATTTGTAGCTTCGAATATCAAAATCTTTTCCATTTTGCAACGAAGGGCTTGCAGCAACGAATATCAAAGCAAGCGAAGACTGGGGAAGTTTCCTATATTGAGGTTTTTATCTAACTGTGAAGTTTGTTAAAAAAAAATATATACGTATTTTTTCTTTTTCTCGTACGATGACATTTCACTTCAGAAAAAAATTAATAAAAGAGGAACTTGGCTCCTCCACCATTCCTATGACGTATTTTCTGAAAATCCACATTCACACAGAGTTAAAATACGATTGCCTGTGTCAGTACGACGTTGCCGACATTATCATTATGTCTAGATTTTCGGAAATTGTTCTTTGAATGCATAATAACTATATCATAACAGCAATGGGATGTAATAGGTTCTTCAATCCTGCTTTGTCAAGTATTATGAATAATTGATATAAATCTCTCATTGGCTGATTGAAGTTGATTACTAATAAAGATAAATTGAGTTATTTTGCGATAGTATCTATAATTTTTCACTATCGTTATATTACAATATGTTATTCATAACTTGTCAGTCATTTTTTTGCTAATGAACTCGTTCCTTGATAAAACGGATCTATTTTCTAGGATTGTTGCAGATTATATCTTGCAACAGCGCATAATGGGTGCCGGCTTCATTCTGTTCTGACCGATGGCAGTAAATTAGGAAGGATAGTATCATTGAATGTAGCCGATAGTGATTCATTGATTCAATGACATTTCCGTTTAGGATCGAGCTCTATTCGAGATATTTCAATGCATAAATACCAAAACCATATCTTGTCAGAATGAAGCCAACTACCCTCTGCATTCCTGCTCCGAGTGCATTTGTAGTTATATATGTTTTTGTTCACCAATTTTACTTCTTCTTCTATTTTTTTCATTCGTTTTTCATTCGATACCTATTTGCTAGCTATATTCTCCACCATCAGCTATTTTCAGACTAGATTCAGAATGTACGTCACAGTTTGCCGCCCCGAAAATTAGAAATTGCTTCAATTTGAAAATGAAAACGACTTGGACTTTTTTGTTCGCCATTCCGTACAGCGTGGACACAAAACTGGTGAGTTCCGAACTTATTTTATGA